CAATTCAGTTTTCGAGAAAAATTGAATATAAAATTTTACCGGTGCTCCCGGTAAATTTTGATAAATTTCAAATAGCGTCTATGGTCTTACAATGGTAGCTGCGACCATGAACATCTCAGAATCTGTAGTTGTGATATATAATTTCCAAACGGGAATAGCTAATCGGTCGATTTGAGTCAAGAAACATTGTTTCATAGCTAAAGTTATATCTTGACCTTGAGAGGGAGCTATACAACATAAAGAGTTTATTATGCCTCCGTTACGAAGTAGCCGGAGGCATTATGTTTTCGGGTTGTCCGTCCGTCCGTCCGTCTGTACGTACGTACGTACGTACGTCCCGTTCTCGTGATCGCGTTATCTGAAGAACTGATTGATGGATTCCTGCCAAACTTCGGTCATGTATATATCTTGCAGAGCCGATGAACTGATTAGATTTTGGGGTCACGAGGTCAAAGGTCAAAGGCCACAGCATACATTATGTATGCAAAAACAGCTCGTGATTGCGTTATCTCAAGAACCGATTGATCGATTGCTGCTAAACTTAGGTCATGTATGTTACTTGCAGAGCAGATGAACTGATTAGATTTTGGGGTCACTTGGTCAAAGGTCAAAGGCCACAACGCACATTATGTATGCAAAAACAGCTCGTGATCGCGTTCTCAAGAACCGATTGATGGATTCCTGCCAAAATTAGGTCATGTATGTTACTTGCAGAGCCAATGAACTGAGTAGATTCTTGGTTCATAAGGTCAAAGGTCATGGGCTCATTATGTATGCAGAAATAGCTTGTGAACACATTCTCATTAGAACTGACAGACGGATTACTATTTAACTCAGGACATCAAGCGTATTCAGAAGCGAGCCTTGAGGATAATCGTTTACCCAAATTTACTGCCATATTGTGAACTCCTCAAAACTTTAAAACTAGAATCCCTTAGTAATAGGCGTCTCGAACTAGCAACTAAATTTGCCAAATCAGTTTTAACCTCTCTTGACCATCGCCATCTCTTGCCACAAAGTAGAGAATCAATCACAGGTCGCAATCTTCGGAACTCTACACACATGACATTACCTCGTATACGAACTCAAAGACGCATGCTTTCTACCATTCCTTACTTTATACAACTTCTGAATTCAACTTCTTAGTTATGCCCTCATATGTTCGCCATTGTAAATTTTTAAATGTTAATTAATTATTGCATAATGATTATTTCAAGTATTAGTATTAATGTGATCTCCCAAAGCTGTTTTAATTTGTTTTTTAATTTGAATTCCATGTCCTTTCACTATAGCAATGATCGTATTATATATAATTATTTATGGTAATTGTATGATCTTTTATGATTTTTATGATTGTATTTTTTTTTTAAAACTTATTAATGATTTAATTCATCCATGTGTTATTTTACCTTGTTATATTTTTGTTATGCATTTTATATTGTCTTCGGACTTTTATAAAGTCTTCGGACTTTTTAATCAGTACTTGAATAAAACCAAATATCTATCTATCTATTTATCTAAGTGTTAACGCACAACATGTATACGTCAGGTTCTATTTTAAAGGTAGTGTATCCTTTTTGCAGCCGGCCAACATCAAATTCTGTAGAACTTTGCAGAATCATGAGTATGTCACATTTATCCTATCTGTGAACTGTAAACCTTTAACAGTTAACAGTGACCTACCCCGTGTCCACACACAACAAATTCATCGTATAACTATCCCGAACGGTATAGTTTCGGGATAGTTATATGATTTCACCATATGACATACATGCCTTCATACTTCATAATGATGATGATGATAACATGAAGTGTTAGTGTCAATTTATAGAGTTAATGCTAACTAATGTGTCTCAAATTTAATAATAGTATACGCATGTAATAATCGGCTGCCATATTTAATTTTATTCAGGCTTCGTTTGTCCATCATCTCCTCCGTTACTCTTATGTTACTTATGTTACGGTTACTTGGATGCCTTAAGGCATGAAAAGCACAAGAATGATAACGACACAAACATGCATTAATACACTTTTTCCCCCTTATAATTATTTATATCTTCCAGTACCTTTTATCAAGGCTAAAATGATTGAGCAGTTTTTTTATTTTCCGAATAGTTTTTTTAGGTTAGGATTCGTCGCGTGAAGTCTGCGATACATACCGTTCCTGTTTTCACGAAGTGACGGTAGTGAGGAAAATCCGCACGTAAATTGTATGCAATTTTCATTCACTACCGTCACTTCGTGATTACGATTCCTCTGTCTTTCATATTTAGGGTATGATAGCATAAAATGTTCGATATTTTCGAAAATTTGACAATTGTCACAAAGGCCAATATCATGCCTATTTATTGAGTAATTGTAATAATTAAGACGGAATCGGTGTAAATTCTTTCATCCTTACGACAAAAACCTTTTATACACGTATATTTTTACATCTCGTTGTATGATGTAGAGATATCTGCCTTTCTCGGCAGTTTCCCATAATTTCTGCCACCCAGCTTTGTAAAAATCATCTTATTTATTCGAAAATTCGAAAGACGTTTCGAACCTGCGTCCTCGGCTGAATCAGTTTGTAACTTCCACTGTTAGCTGGATTACGGGCGCACGCCACAACGCGTTTTTATACTCTACGGGTGGACCGGCGGTCAAATAATTCGATCAATGATTAGAACAATAACGGACAAGGCTCATTGGTCGAAGCACATGTGTGATCAACCAATCAACGGGCCGTTGACTCGGCTCGCCTTGTTCTCGCCCGGCAGATAGAAAGTTCATAGAAAATATATGTTAGCCCTCGGCCCCTGTTTTATAATAGGGTTAAATTTGTAGACATTCGGACATTTGTCGGTCAGCGCTGGCCACTACACGCCCCCCCCCCCCCTACTGAAAAGGGTCTAGATACGCCTCTGCGTACAAGAGCACACACACACACGCACACATCAACAAACGCACACGGGCGCGGCTTTGCACCTAGAGTTTTCACAACTCGCACCATAGTTTGCTCACCTACTTCAACCCTCTCTCCCCCCCCCCACCCCACCCCCCCCCCCTCTCTCTCTCTCTCTCTCTCTCACTCTCTTTAAACAGTTTAGCTTCCTTGGTATGATATCCATTCATAAATAAACAACAACAAAATTGTATCAGATATTTCATACTTATTATATAAATAGATCAGCGTGAATACCATCGACTACATCAACATTCTTTTCCATTCACAGCCTCACCAAATTAATTATCTACAAAGATATCAAGACTCCCCCTATTTTTCATATCTGTTTTTTTCCCCTCAAATGTTTTAACGTGGACATACTATTCAATTCAATTCAATTTCGGTGTATTAATATCAACATAAACAATGTACAATGCAGTAGTCCAGGGACCAATAATGCAATGTTTACATAGAATGTGCATAAAAACAGGAATGATAATATAAATGTACAATACAAATGAAAAAAGATAAAGTATCATTATTGTTCATACCTTAAGTTATATTCATATATAAATAAATGATAATAGATGGATGAACAACCTATAACAGTTACTTGAAATATTGGACCAATTATTGCAAGTACAAATAATCTTTAAATTTAAAAATTATTTTAAAAAATATATATATAGAGAGAGAGAGAGAGAGATCCATAGACTGAAAAAGTATACATGCAGGTGTGTCTGTTGTGTGACAGGTAAGGTCAAATGATGTTGAATGGAATTATTACATTAAAAATATATCATTAATGCATTTCATATAAAGTGATGTATAATGCCTATGAGCATACACAAATTCTTATAATTGTTGAGTTTCCACATTAAATTTTAAAATAATTATAATAATAATAGTTAGCTCTCATATAGCGCATTTAATTACCGAAGGTAATACCAATGCTCTTTACAAATGTAGAAGACAATAGAAATAAAGACATATATAGAAATAATTACATATAATTATAATCAAAACTTACAAGTAGGCATACGTTATACATTAGAAAAATCGAAAGTAGCTTCTATTAAAGGTGATACATGTAATATTTGAAAATGATTATAATGGTGAGGAAGGCCCAATACAACAATATAAATATGAATAGATAAATAAACATCAGCATTCAGTCAGTCACAAAAATGAAGTTGAGTTACAATTATGTTATTGCAGCAGAATTATACACGGTGTTAAGAACAACTTTATAAGAAAAATGAAGAGTGTTACTGACAGGAAGTTTTCTCCTGTGTTTGATAAAATCATGTAACGATAAGTCGGGAAATGCTGACGTCATAGACGAGGCTTTTTGGGGAATTGACATGTATTTGACTATTGAGGGCGTTTCTTCGCATGCCACTGATTTTCCTTGTTTGGAACGGTCGGACGACCGTGAGGTTGTGATGATAAATTAATTCTTTTTGATGAGCCCAACGTTGTAAGTAGACAATTACATTGCTATTCCTTTAAAGAGTTGTTGAATGATAATCAGTGATAATTTCTATTAATTATGTTGATGGTTAGTGATGTAAATTTGTTGCGAAAGATTTGTATTGAAGTACGTAATGTAGCAGTGGTATACATAATACGTGCAAGTAATGCATGCATGCACTGTACACGTTTAGTGACCGGAAGTAGTCGCGCCTCTTTTGTTGACAGATTATGAAGTGAGCCATGATAAATAAGGCTGTATGATAGCTGAAGCATATTATTTCTTACAATGTTGATATAAATGTTCAAGCTGGTTATTAGTGATGAATAATAAATAAATGTCTCATTTAGGGAGATAAAAGTTAGGCTTTGAATACATTGTTTATAAGTATTTTGCTAAGCTAAACTTGGGCCTTGTGTTGTGGAATTAGGATTTTGAGAGCATTGCTTTGACCGGTTATTGTTTACATATTTGAAAGTCAGTGCTAGGATAGAAGCAAGCAAGCCTTTTGTATCAAATAATTGTATTTAAGATCAGATATTGTTTCAGGAGAGGTTTTTGGATATGACACATAAATAATTGACACAAACAAGTTAATTCATATTCAGTTATGCATTTATTGATTGAGACCAGACAAGATGGATAATTATTGTAACAAATAATGTCATTGATAAGCATGTGTACATGTATTCCAGTATTGATTGGATGTTTCCTTTATTTGTTTTGTTCAATTACAGATTGAACCGTGCTGATACGTGCTGAAGTATCTTGTCAGCGTGGTCTCATACTGGGTTTAGAACTTTGTGTCCTGCTTGATTATTTATCGTCACAGTGTCCCCAACAAAGAGCACTCAAAAATATGTGCACGAATTTTGAATTTTGGATCGATCTTGAGTTCAATTAAACAAAGTAACAAAACAATAACTCTAATATTATTTTTTTAAAGAAGAAAAACAAATAGGATACATTACTATACATGATCTACAACTGAGCATTAACCAGTTTGACAAGTGTGGGGACACTTGATTTTCTGTATCATTCAGTTCTTGCATAAGGAATGTGTAGGTGGTTAGAATTCCTAAGTCCACCTAGATCCATGGTTTTAGCATAGGGATAAATCGGTACGATACCTAGTCTAGTAATCAATTCGCATGACAAAATTATTCTATACACATTTATTGAAACCTGTTGATAGAATACTATTTGCAATCGACATCTCTTTATGCAACATGAGTAATAATAATAATAATAATAATAATAATAATATGTCTTGTTTATACAGGGTAGCCTCATCTATAAACTGTGGAACACGAAGATATTACTGGACTTCCATCGCATAAAGAAGACCAGATAAATCCCCAATGAATTTAGGGACTGTTTCACGTAGGGTATATTTCCAGATTCCGTTCTGAGCACGCATGAGAATGTCCGTGTCCAGTTGACCATTCTTGAAGTCGGGACAGGTGTAGACGAATGCCTCTCGCATAACAATCAAAATGATACAACCTGATGGGGAAAAGGAAACAAAATATCAATAAAATGGAAGAGGGATGGGGAAAAAAAATAATAATAAAGGAATGGAGATAGAGATGAAGAATTATATAAAGAAAGAAGGGGGGGGGAATTATTCAAGTCTTCTTTAAAATGGATAGCCCTTTTAACAACGAATATGGATCTTCCAGGGGGTCCTGTCTGTGCAATTAAAAAAGCATACAAATATTACAACATTATACCTGAACGTAAAGATTCGGGTTAAACTAGACATTTCAGCTTTCAAAGACTCAATTACTCCTTATACCAAATTGATGCCAATTTCGATTCAAAATGCATTCTTACTTGAACAAGTAATTGGCAACGAGTTATTACATTCACCTACCATGTATTATTTCGATAGTCAGAATGCGAATTGCATGCATTAGTTGTTGATATAGGTAGGGAAAACATTATAGCTTGCACTTTACCTATACTGTGCAGTTTTTTACTACTGAAAAGCTTGCCAGAGGCATGCCCGACAAAGCAAAGACTAATGTATTCAAAATGACTTCCATCCATACAAATTAATATGCCGTTTTGGTTAATCAAACATAGCTGTGTTAACACGATGTAACTTTTGGTCGGCGTAAACGTCGTGTTTAGAGCTAGTCGGCGTACATAAAGGTGAGGTCGGCGTAAAGGACGGCGTAAAGGTCGGCGTAGTGATCGTCTGAATGATAGTCGTGTTAGCTACGCCTACCTTTACGCCGACTGATTTACTCCTGGATTTCCCATGAGTGACGCGCTAACGCGACTAGAGGATAGCGTAAGTTAACCGTGTGGATGTTCTCACTTGGCACTCGGAGTATCTGTGACCTTTCACAAGGGTTGTTAATTTACAATCGAAAATGAAAATTAGATTTCGCGCGGTTTTGGATGCGGAAGCTGGGTTGAAGTAGACGAGCTCTTAACACGACCTTTACTCCGACCGAAATCGTTTTTACCTTTCTTTGCTACCCGGAGCAGTTCTGGAAACACTGCTTGTGTTATATTCCCCTGGTTGAATGCCCCTACACACACGATAGCGTCATAGGTACCTGTAATACAACCACGAAGGAGGACATTATGAGCAAGAACTTGATTGGTTATTAGAGGGAATTGGGATTTCAGCTGCGATGCATAGTGTATTGTCGTGTTCTGAATGGATTGTTAATAAAGGCCTAAACATATTTCATGGCCTTCATTCGTAAAAATTGTAAAATAATCTAATCAAATATTCAAATCAATATTTCAAAAATGTTAGTGTCATTCAACTTGTTCTCAAAAAATTTAACACCCTAAACAAACTTCCACTTGAGTTTAAAGTGAGTCGGTAACATTGGTGTAGGTAGACGAAAGAAATGCTTAATTTGTGCATGAAATGTTTACTGTACTAACCTCTAACATACAAAACATCCTGAACAAATTCTCAAACCACAAAGATATTTATGGTTTTCTATGAAGGCGTCACTATGCGACACCCTCTAACAGTAAATTCTCCAAACCATTTTTGAATATTTCCTACCGTTTTTCTATGAAAAAGGATTTAAGACAGACTTTTAAAAATCTTTCAACACTTAACATTCACCAAATTGTAATAATATAGTTTGGAAAATTAAGGAATCGATCAGATCAGTTTTGAACCAATTTTTAATAATGGTCTGTTTTCACTCAAAGTTTCAGATTATCTTTAATTGTAGGCCTAGCAGTGAAGTCATCACCTTCGCACCATTTTCTCTCATATGAACAATGTTACCAAGTCCCTTTAAGTTTTACCTTTTAAATTATTGGAAATCGATACAGAACCGAGTTCGCCAATAAATAAGGAAGCTTGGACTGTGTTGAAGACGCCGAGGATGGAAGAAATTGAGGATAAATATGATTTCCAGAACAGTATGAGAAATATTTGTTTTATAAAGTAACAAGTGATTTTTTGCCAATTAATCACCACATCTTAAAGCCCACAAAATGGATAAACGGTCGACGGACAAAGCTGGATCTGGATGATGAACTGACCAGCCAATAGAAAATGTTATTCCCCGACATTCCTAACAGGACGGTGACGCATTACGAATTAAATCAATCCTAAAGCCCCTTTCGTACCGGGCCATACGTTTAGTTGCGTAGTGTTGCGTACCGACTACGCCGAGCGTACGTTGTCCTACGCTGGCCTACGTAACTATACGCTGATGGACGCAGAGGGGTAGCGATATGGATCGCGTACTTTCGGCGTAGACACTAGACCCAAAACGTATGCATTTCGTACGCAAGTCTAGGCAACACTACGCTACTGTACGCCATGCCTACGCAATAGTAAGCTTCCCTACGCCAGTGTGACAAAGCAGTCAAAGCGTATAAATTAATTAAGGTGTCCTAGATCCTATTTGCGCATACAGTTAGCAACCGTGCGCTACCCTAAGCTAACCTCCGTACCCTTTACGCCAGGCCTACGTAAACATACGCAACCCTACGTCTGTTATACTCAATGATAGGCGTAGGTACGCCAACGCCAATTGCATACGCGTTAGGTACGCGGTCTATATGCACAGGGTACGTAACCATATACGCAATGGTACGCCAGCCTATGCATAACCGGCAGGTACTACGCCGAAGCAACATTTTGTTCATGAATACGCAGCCTAATTTCGGCGTACTCGGTACTCCACACTACGCAGATCCAGTGTGAAAGGGGCTTAAGTCATCTGTTCCTTTTCAACGAATAAATTGATCATGATCTACTCTACGTCATTGCTTCCTCCAGATTAGCCTCACCATCCGGACAAGAAATCCCTTGACCTATGACGTCACAAGCCTCGAGTCGGGAATAGACTCCTGTTTGTTCCGCATGAGTGAGCATGTCCTGAACCAGATCAACACCATCTATATTCACATAGCCTTGTGAATGAAGCTAATATAATAGGGGAATCGTAATGGAAAAAACAGTTAGTAACACCATTAAAGGTAAAGACCAGTTATGGTCATGCGATTGCATTGTGAAAGAAACGTTGTGGAATCGATCAGAAAAGGTTGATCATCTAGCATCTAGCATCTGCAAGGTTCTGGAATCATCAAAATGATAAGAAATTTGGCCCATTCTTCGTAAAGTTACAAGCACTATACACAGAAAGATGTATATGGGACTACCCTATATCTCTCACAGACCATGAGAGAAAAAATATTACCAAATATATGAATTAGTAGGCGGTTTCCCGGCGAATTTTTTATCATCATGTATTAGTCAAAACATATTCTTTCACATGATTGGTAATGAGAGCTTCCATTTCATTTTTTGAAATTGGGGCGTTTCCAATACTGGTCTTTACCTTTAAAAGGTTGGGTGAAATCCAAATATAAGTTGATTCCTGTTTATGTGCAGGGCTGCATTCAACTCATATTTTTGTTATTTAAACATCTAAGTATGTTTCACTTATTTTTTTAAATACTGCTTTTAATAATTTGCTCCGACCTGCTAAGCTCCACCCTTAAAAAATGCTACAGATCTCATTCATCTTGTGACATCATCTGTGAGCTAACAAGAGACAGTGCTATGTAACTTTCCGCCGCTCAGCACATGCTCACAAAAGAATTTCATTTTTCACAGGTGAATATGCATGTGACACCTGTTCTACACATTTTTACATAATAGCAGTGAAGGGATGTTCCTTTGTCTACCACAGCAATTGTTGAGGGTAGAATGAGGAACTGTATATTTTGTCCTCTTTCTTTGTCCGTCATGTTCATAGTGATAGTGTTTCTCTCCCTGGTGATGCTACAGCATGTCTGACATTAGCCATGTTCAGACGGATGCTTGCTAGTCGGCGTAAGTTAATCACGCACAAACACACAACACACACACACACACGCTCGCTCATTAGGGGTGTGTGGGTGATAGGCCTACCGCGCGAAGCGCGGAAGCTTAGACGTTTCCTTAAATTATTAGTAAAAGATTTATTGTACCGTTCTCTACTGTTAACCCTTGTCTGAATGAATCCCCCCCCCCCTCCCGCGCGAAGCGCGAAAGCTTTGGCGTTTCATTAAATTATTATAAAAAGGAGACGATTTGCTGTACCGTTCTCGACTGTAAATCCTTTTCTGAATTCAGTTCCCCCCTCCCCCCCCCCCCTCCCGCGCGGAAGTTTTGGCGTTTCATTAAATTATAAGAGAAAGTAGACGATTTGTTAAACCGTGCTCGACTCTTAATCTTTGTCGGAATTCGGTTTACCCCTCAAGCGCAAAGCGCGGAAGTTTTGACGTTTCATTAAATTATAAGAGAAAGCAGACGATTCGTTACACCGTTTTCGACTCTTAATAAGCCTTATTTATCTGAATTCAGTTCCCCCCCTCTCGCGCGAAGCGCGGAAGCCTTAACGTTTCCTTAAGCTATTAGAGAAAGCAGACGATTGAGTGTACTGTTTTCGACTCTTAATTCTCGTCTGAATTCAGTTTCCCCTTTCCGCGCGAAGCGCGAAAAGCTTAGACGTTTGATTTAATTATTATAGAAAGAAGACGATTCGTTGCACCGTTTTTGACTCTTAATAAGCCCTATTTATCTGAACTCAGTTTCCCCCTCTCGCGCGAAGCGCGGAAGCCTTGACGTTTCCTTATCGTGACATACTGTATACGTGTAGGCTATACATAAACAAAATAACTCATTTCTCATGCATTATGCTGCAATTGAAACAATCACATTTTTTTCTTCTTCTTCTTCTTCCTTTTTTTTCCTCTCTTTTTTTTTGTGGTAATATCAGGGGGATGATTGTACAGGTCATCCCCCTACTTCAAACCAGGGGGGATGCAGCCCCCCCCCCCCCCGGGATTTACGCCCCTGTTTCAATTACACCATTACTAGTTGCTCACACCCTCTTACTCGGACCTTCTTCCTGTTCGTACCAACTTGATACGATTAAAAATAAAGTTGAGTTCTGGTCATGCGATTGCATCGTGAATGAAAAGGTGTGGAATGGATCCGAAAAAAAGTTGATCATGTAGCATGTAAATATTGGTGTGTACTGCAAGGGGAGTCATCAAAATAATAAATTTGGCCCAGTCTTGGTAAAGTAACAAGCACTGTACACAGAAAGATGTCACAAATGGTGTCGGGCCTACTTATCTTGATTTCCTTATCTTTCTGTGCTCATTACTCAGCCAGTATACATTTTCTACCAATTTTTTTGTGCAAATGACATTTATTTGTAATCTTGAACATTCAGTGTAAGTTTCGTTTGATTGTGTGAGAATTCATTTTTTTCCTTTTTTTAAACCAGAACTCAAGTTTATCTTTAAGTTTAAGGTATAGACCAGTTTTGGAAACGCCCCCCTCTCAAAAAAAAGAAATGAAAGCTCTTATTACCAATCATGTGAAAGAATATGTTTGAATAATTCGTGATGAAACACATTTTTCCGGGAATCCGCCTACTAATTGATATATTTGGTAAATTATTATATCTATCTGGACCGGATAGATATCGCGCACGTGTCGCGTAGTCCCATATTCATCTCTCTGTGTACAGTGCTTGTAACTTTACCAAGACTGGGCAGAAATCTCTTATCATTTTGATGATTTCAGAACCTTGCAGTATACACCAATACTACGTACCAATATGCTAGATGATCAAACTTTTCTGATCAATTCTACAACGTTTCTTTCACAATATCCAAGCATTTCAGATGATTGTTGTCAAATTTTGAATATGGGAGAGCAATCCATTGCAGTGATGTTTGTTCAATAATTGGCCTATTCTTCCAAAATGACATAAAAACAACGAGAAAGTTCACATATTACTTTACATCTTTTTAGACAGACCTCAACCTTCTCTTTAAAGCCTCCCTGCACTAATTTGGCATGGATGGATTATCCCTTCCTGCAAGTCACTGGCAGATGGTTGTCTCATCAAATCAACTCTCAATTAACATAATGAACAGGGCATGTGGGCCCAAGTATCGGCTTGGCGTGGTTTTCCTTCCTTCCTTCACACTGATGTTCTATTCTTCTCATCACTTTCAATGTGTAATACTAGAATATAAGAATATTTCTATCTTGTCTTTCTTTTATGTTGATGGTTCTTCTATGATTATAAACACAACGATATAGTTATATATATATATATATATATGATCTTTTGATCCCTTGCTGACCATACATTGCGAGACAAACGAAAGTCACTAACGATATTATTTTCGATATATATTACGTGTTTGTACAATGTGTGACCAAAACAAATTCCCATGTATTCTTGTGAATTTGGATGAATCAAAATAATTGAATTGAATGGGGATCAACGGGTACCGCTTAGGCATTGTTGGCTGTATAGAGGGCGCAAGTAGCTATAAGAAGTGCAGCGGGGCTTTAAGATGGGTTGTATTATTTACCTCTTTGCCGACCCCTCCAGTTCCACAAGCCACGTCTAGGATCTTCTTGCTTTTATCTGCCATCAAGCTGGACAGTTTTTGTGCTGCTTGATGAGGGCCGTTAAATTTCATTTTGACCTGATCCTGAAACGAAAAGACGGTTTTATCATTATTTGTATTATCATTAGTAGTAGTAGTAGTAGTAGTAGTATCATCATTATCATTATTAATAGTAGTAGTAGTATTAACGTTAGTACGTGTTCTATATATGTTCTGCTTCGTATCAGGACAATTACCCCCTGGGCAATCACCCCCCGGAAAATTACCCCCCGGAAAACTACCCCCCAAGGACAATTACCCCCTGGAAATTTACCCCCCGGAGAATTACCCCCCGAGGACAATTACCCCCCAAGGGCAATTACCCCCCGGAAAATTACCCCCCGGAGAATTACCCCCCGAGGACAATTACCCCCGAGGACAACTACCCCCGAGGACAATTACCACCCGAGGACAACTACCCCCCGAGGACAATTACCCCCCCCCCCCCCCCCCCCCCTCGAAACACCATTACCGCGGCCCGAGGACAATCACACCCAGTGAATTTGTAACACTGTGACGTATAATGCGAGCTCCTCTTCAAATTGCTATTTACAGAAAATGTCATGAACTTTCATTTTCTTAGTTATTTATGACGGAATAGATTTGTTTCGTACAGGGGTTGTGTATAAATTATATTTATATTCGTAGCTCACATTCAAAGCCCTCGTACCCATCTGCCAAATCTTTTTGCTTGACGTACATGTATCCTCCTAGGAGATTTCACCCACCCCTCTCGCTCTGTATCCATTCCACCTTTGTGAAGTTTAACTTAATATGCCACGTGTATTGAATCAAATTCAATTGCCAGAAGACGCATGTATCAAATCGAATTCAATTGCCAGAAGACGCATGTATCAAATCAAAGTACGGAATTTACATTTCTTAGAAATTTAACAATAAATTGCGCGCAGATGAGTACGCGTTAATACAGCTAGTCTCCCCAAAAATAGCCCAACAAAGAAATTAGGATGTAAGATATCATTATTTATGCATCCTCTGTAAATTTTCTAATCAGCTGATCGTATATTTGTCTTTGTATGTATAATGGGCCCTCATCCATGATCTATTCCAAAATTAAGGTTCTCTTCATGTTTATAAATGTAATGTAATATATATATATATATTTCTGTTGTCATGGTGAACTAAAATATGTTTTCTTGTACTGTAATTTATTTTGAAATAAAAATTGCCTTCAAGTTAAATATATGGTATGTACGGTGCCATATTAAAAGAAAATAAGTATCCGCACTTGGGTACATTCATCTCAATGATTTTGTAATTCCAGAGCAGCGTTTTTTCAACTGGGGTGCCGCAAGAGAATGTTAGTTACATGACAATTTTTTTTGGCAAACGTTGATTTTGTGAAAAACAAATATCAGAAACGAGTAGAGTATTTATTTTCATGAGAAAATAAAATGTAAACAAATAATAAAATGTCTTTCTTCCTCGCTCGCTGACAATATTTTGCGAATATATATCTTTTATTTCGACATTACATTGTTACCACACTCATCACAATTATAAACATGATGAATCAAGGCAACGAGAGGCCCGAATATCCTCATATTCGTGTATCAAGGTCATGACCTAATATTTCACTTTATATTCGTGTACATTCGGCGGTGAGGCGCCCGCATACCTTAAATCTGTGCTAGTGTGTTGATTACAACATTATGTTTTACCATTTTGAAAATGTCTTGTCCTTGTTTTTCTTGCTCGTTCACTAAATCAAGAAACAAATGTGCCCATACGTGTGTACATAGCACTTGACGAGTGCCAGAGTGATGCAAGATTGGGCGAAACTTTTCATTTCTTAAGAGGGCATCGTGTCGAACAAAAAGTTGAAATAACGCTGCACAAGAGAAATCCTTCGTAGAAAACAGTAACCACAGTGTTGTTGCATACATTATAGCTAAAGAAAAATGTGTAGTAATGAGGAAGATCACGCGCAAGTATTTGAACGAATGTGGGTTCATGCACGGGATTTTATGGGCTCGTAGCCTTCACATCCAACGTGTCAGATCGTCTTTTGCTATTGAATCCTGATTGTCCCCGGGGGGGGGGGGGGGGAATTGTCCTCGGGGGCGGGTAATTGTCCTCGTTGGGTAATTCCTCAAGGGGTAGTTTTCCGGAGGGTAATTGTCCTTGGGGGTAATTGTCCTCGGGGGTAGTTGTCCTCGGGGGGTAATTCTCCGGGGGGGGGGGGGGAATAATTTTCCGGGGGGTAATTGTCCTTGGGGGGTAATTGTCCTCGGGGAGTAATTGTCCTCGGGGGTAATTGTCCTCGGGGGGTAATTGTCCTCGGGGGTAATTGTCCTCGGGGGTAGTTGTCCTCGGGGGGTAATTCTCCGGGGGGTAATTTTCCGGGGGGTAATTGTCCTTAGGGGGTTATTGTCCTCGGGGGGTAATTCTCCGGGGGGTAATTCTCCGGGGGGTAATTGTCCTTGGGGGGTAGTTTTCCGGGGGGTAACTTTCCGGGGGGTGATTGCCCAGGGGGTAATTGTCCTAGAACCGTTCTGCTTTAATGTCTATTGTTACTGGTGTTGTTATTTTCATTATTTTCATCATCATCATCATCATCATCATCATCATCATTATATATTAGGTCCAGCGCTAGTGAGAATAGCAGGACAACGGGAAGGGAATAACATTATCGGAGTTTTAATAAGATTCTTTTCACCGACAAAAGCAAAATACAAACCAAACAACAAACCAAACAACAATCAAAACATATAACATTGCTGATATAAATGCTTACATAGTACTTGTATATCATATTCAGAGAGCTCTGTACATGTTTACACAATGGGTGAATGATGATTTTGAGATATGACGACATACGAGAAGTGTTAATCCAAAGAAAAGTAGGTATAATAAGGTGATAATATGAAATTAAATTTAAATGAAATTGGCTAAAATTACATTTTACAATGAATAAATAGTATGTCACTACATAATTTCTATACAACCCATGAGTGAAAAAAATCTATTCTGTCATTATTAACGAAGTATATGAAAGTTTATGGACTTTTAATTACAGAGCAAATCGGAGGGGAGCTCGTAAGATATTCACAGAGTTGCCAATTTGTGTTTGATTAATCGCAACTTCAAAAATTCATAATATTTCTTATTTTCAATCAGAATTTGCTCAAACTAGGACTGACCTGTTTCTCTTATTTTTCTGCTTCTATTCTAACCAACCTAATATCATAGTTGACTTACTCTTTATAGCTAGGTGATACTAATATCATGTTTCATTTTATTACCGAACCCTGGCTTTACGCTAGGTAAAATGTAACTGGCTTGTGAAACCATTAAAGAAGAATACAAATCAAATAATTGAAAATTAAAGAGTTAGATATGCGTTATGCTATGACATCTAGCTCTTCAAGCCGTTAGCATAGATTTCTTGCATGCTATTATCGGAGATGAATAATAAATGAAAAATATATACCTCATCATATGTCTCTGACCATCCCTTGTAGGCTTCCTCAAGGCGCTTTAGATCAAGATCCCCAGAGGTTGCAGAATACAAATTCTTCCAATGTAAATCATCTTCACCAGTCGCCATTGACATTGTGTTGTGATACATCCAATTCTCCAATAAAGCGCTTGAGGACAACAGCTGCTGACTGGCATGTCCTGAGCATGAACTTGGTCTGGGGCTGCTACACTATATGCTCCCTATTATACTCAGTCAGTTCGCAGAGAATCTCGTTCCGCGCGTCCTGCGCTGTAATTGTGTCATAGCCGGCAGAAATGGCATGGTTAGTAGTTTAGCATGCGATATAGCACAAACAGAGTGGATATTGTATGTATATGTTTTTGATAAGGGCAAGGGTCACGGTCGATCAGGGGGGGGGGCGTCTATTTTCCAGGGCTGACAGTTGTCGGTGGACAAATGTTGATGAAACTCGATAGTGACTATCGAGTCATTTCTTTGGTAACAAATTAATTTGTTTGCTTTATTTGCTATTTTTGCTTGTTTCACGCTGTATATCATCTTATGTCAAGGCCTTCTTGTCCACCTATTATTATTGTTACGTCCTACACCATTACAACCACTTCAATCAAATGTTAGTTTTATTTATGGGAACCTATAATCTACAAGCTAAGCTTTTTAATAGGTTCCTCACAATTCACCCTGTATAACCTTCTATTCAATACAATTAATTTCGACGTCTTTTTAAAGAATTGAGTTTGAGTTTGAGTTTATTTTATTTATACACGGTAAAAGCCCGAAACAGTTCGCAGACTGGTTTCAATCAGGGCCGTGTCGATAAAAAACAACATAATCATGACATATAAACAAAAGTAATATAACACTGACAAATTCACAACCATAACATGACAATATATAGGAAATAAGCTGAAAACACTTTACTTAATTAGAACTATATTGGTAGACCCAAAAGATAAACAATTGAAATAAGTTATGATCATCATAATCTGTTTGCATATATATATATAAAATAAAAACAAAAAGAAGTTTTACAAGATTATAAATAAGTTAAGAACATATTATGTATTCATGTTAAATATTAAATAATCAAACTTTAAAACAATAAACAAAAGAAAACACACATAATGTAGAATGTGTAATAATTATGAAATTAAGACGAATGCGTATTCCATATTAAGTAGAAGTAAAATGAATTATGGAATGATAATAAATATTTAAGAGCATTATGAATATGGATCAGTTAAATACTACATATATAATTGTTTTTGTTTTTAAAGAGACAAAAACTGATATCGTATTGCAAAGATCATATTGCACACGATTAGACATTTAAAACATAATGCGTAGGAGTAATATAACATAAATAAGAATGATGAATAGGTTGAAAGTATGAAGATATGTATGCAACTATAAAACCTTAAAAACAAACAACAACAAAGCTCTCTTAAGCTAATAAGTTAGCCCCTCCCACACACTTATTTCGTATTACGTCAGCTTTGCCTTAAAAATATTTAACGATTTAGCACCTTGTACATCATGTGGCAAGTTATTCCATGTTAAGGCCCCTCTATAGTTAAAAGATCTTTTCATAGTCTCAGTCTTTTGTCTTATTGTTTTCACATTATACAGACTTGAACGTGTGTTGTATGTATGGTCAGCAAATATAAACCTTTCTACTAAATACTCAGGAGCTTGTTTTGAGACAATCTTATACATCATAATTGCTACATTCTTTGTTCTATTATTGTCAAGTGTATTCCAATTTAGTCTTGTTAAATTTTCATCTGATGAGGAATACCAAGAGGACCTATTAATTATTCGTGCTGCTCTATTCTGAATTTTGTGTAATTTGTTTTTCTGTGTACTTCCACATCCACCCCATATACATCACAATAATTTAAGTGAGACAATACTAGTGAATTATTAACCAATTTCATTTCATATTTATTGACTATATTTCTTATAGATTTCAGCATATATAATCCGTTACTTGCTTTTTTATGAATAGTATAAATATGTTCTTGCCATGATAACCTTTCATCTAAAATTACCCCAAGGTGTCTACACTTACTAACTCGAGTTAACACAGTATTGTCTATAGTAATGTTTAAATCATTATCTTTAACTTTATCCAGACGTTGTTTCGTACCGAATACAATGTATTCAGTTTTCTTTATATTCAAATTTAGTTTGTTTTGTATCAACCACTTTATAACATATTCTAGGTCTTCATTTATCTTCTCACTCAATTCTATAGTATCATTTGCCGAACAATACCGTATCATCAGCTTACATGCTTACTTTACAGTGGGTGAGGCCACGTGGCAAATCATTAACATGTAATATGAAGAGCAGGGGTCCTAAAATGGATCCTTGGGGAATTCCACATTCAATTGGCAAAAAATCTGACATTATATCGTTAACAGATGTAGATTGTACTCGATCATGTAAATAGTTCGAAAACCATGTGATGGTTCATCCAACCCGTACATACATAATTTTCTCAATAGTAACACATAGTCAACGGTATCAAAAGCCTTTTTTAGATCTAGCATTACCGCACATACAATTTGACCTTCATTTATGCTTGTTAAAGAGAAGGTTGAGTTCTGGGAAGAGGTTAAAAATAATTAGTGAGCATTACTCATTCTTATTATGCAAGTGTGGAAGAACATCAGTTAAGACATGTTCCCTGAAAAGCATGGCTCTTCAAATGCCTTCATCTTCTAAATATGCATGTAACATCGTAAAAATCGGGGGCCGGCTTTTTACGCCATGTGTTCGTGTAGTCCCATATACATCTTTCTGTGCAAGTGTTTGTAACTTTACCAAGACTTGGTCACATTTCTTATCATTTTGATGATTCCAGAACCTTGCAATACACACAAATTCTTATATGCTAGATGATCAACCTTTTCTTGTCGGTTCCACACCGTTTCTTTCACAATGCTATCGCATGACCAGAACTCAACTTCATCTTTAACCAGTCATCTGTTACATTTAGTAGAGCAGTAGCTGTAGAGTGATTGGGTCGAAATCCTGACTGGTAAATGCTCAACAATGTATTGGCGTTTAAGTAGTCCCCGCCCCCCCCCCCCCCCCCCCCCCCACTCAGTGTTATTTAGGGTACGCATATGCTCGTACCCTCTTTTTGAAAGCACCCCCTATCTGAGGCCTGCCAACATTTCCGAACCCCCTTTTCGCGGGCTTTTCGCGGGCTTTTCCTGCCTTGGAGACCCCCCTAAATCAGGAAAAATGCTCAATGTACCCCCCTAAATTCGGAATGATTTCTCAGGAGTCCAACGAGATGAGAGAAAAAAAGAAAAACACCCCCTTTTTAAAGAAATCTCCGGGTGAAAAGTCAAATACACCCCTTTTTTTACAATTCTCGGGCCGGACTTTGTCGCACGAAAAGTACCCCTTTACCGGACATTTTGGCAACACGCATGCGGTCATTCCGACCTCTGAGTGGGGGGGCCGGGAAGTAGTCATAGATTTGATTGAAGACCATTAAATTCTCTCTAAAACTCTTGATAGTATGGGTAAAATCGAAATAGGTCTATAGTTACACAATTCCTTAGACTCTCCTTTGTGAATCGCAACAATTCGGGCTTTTTTCCACATATTAAGTACAATTCCTGTGTGCAAAGACGAGTTAATTATAGACGTCAGAGGCTGCACAATGTACGGGGTGGCCATTCTAATCAGCTTAACTGGAATCATGTCACACCCCATTGCCTTTTTCAACGATAGGCTATTTAATACCTTTAAAACAGCGTTTGAATCCACTTGTCTAAACTGAAAAGAATGGTGTGCCGGTGTTACTAAAGCCTCGTTAACACAATTATTTGCAGAAGGAATGTTTTTTGACAAAGTACTCATTTAGTTTTTGAGCAATAGTTTGCTCAAAATAATATTAATTATATAATGTGACACTTTTAGTATATTTCATTTCATATAATGTTCTAATTTTGTCAATTATGTGAATTATTTTTTTGTGAAATGTGAAACAAATAAACTTGAAAGTAGAAACATCAAATTAATTTTATGGTGTAGATGGACTGCCTCTCAACATTGTTAGAAAAGCTTTCCTAGCCCAGAATATTGAAATATATTTAGTAATGGATAGTGACAGAACACGGTACAACACAGGACAACACAACAAAGAACGGCGCAACACAAAGACAATTCCTCACTCTGATAATTGATGCTTGTATATTCATTTCCTCAGCCGGGCTTTCTTGTTTTCGAAATATACATGACGTGATTTGACAACTGATTTGACAAGTTTTCACCAGAAATTATTCATTTTTTGGCAAGTATTTACTCCAAAGAGCATGATGGAGTCTATGTGACAGTTTCCTGGCATGAATAATTTTTCTTTAATATGACTAAACATAATTTGTGCAATTTAGGTATTGATGAGCAATAAGATTGTCTTCCCATACCCGAAAGCTTATTTAGAATACATGTATGCATTTGTTTCATGTATCTGGGTTTATTTAATAGTCAAGTCCTGACTTAATTGATATACTATACAACTGTAAGAAAATGAGAAGCAAAAGGTATCATTATATCATCTAGGAAATAATTGTACACGTTATGCACTACCTAATTTATCCATTATCTTGCAAAATAGTTGTATTTTCCTGTGTAAAAATATGTTCGCTAAAACTTTCACTGACCTCTTCATTTTATATTTATTTTCCGTTTCTATTAAAAACCAACTAATATCAGGGTAGACTTCCCTTTTAAATGTTACCTGCGCTAATAAGGGTCAGGGGCCTATGAAGGCTAATATTTACACTGCTCAATTTGTAGTCACTTGTATGACGTCACACCCGAATAGTCTGCAAGCACAGTCGTAAAAGTGAGTCTGCACTATAAGACTACCATAGGCCATACTGTAGCTGCTCCTGACCTATATTGACACAACCAGTAGGTAGCTGAGCTAGGCTTCTCTCAAGGCACAATGATTTTTTGATCAAGTGTCAAATTAGGGTCTGAGCTTGTAGACTAACACCCGAACGTCATACACCATGTCAGTCGGTGACGCACCCGTGCGTCAGTCAATAACACCTCCCGCGTAACGGGTAAACGTCAGGTCCTATTTTAAAGGTAGTGTATCCCTTTTGCAGCCAACATCAAATTCAATCTGTAGAACTTTGTAGGAATCATGAGAACGGTCAAGTAGGTCATGTCCTATCAGTGAAATTACTGTCACTAGTTCCCGCCCCCCCCCCCCCCCACTCAGTGTTATTTAGGGTACGCATATGCTCGTTCCCTCTTTTTGAAAGCACCCCCTATCTGAGGACTGCCAACATTTTCGAACCCCCCTTTCGCGGGCTTGTCACGGGCTTTTCCTGCCTTGGAGACCCCCCTAAATCAGGAAAAATGCTCAATGTACCCCCCTAAATTCGGAATAATTTCTCAGGAGTACAAAGAGATGAGAGAAAAAAAGAAAAAACACCCCCTTTTCAAAGAAATCTCCGGGTGAAAAGTCAAATACACCCCTTTTTTTACAATTCTCGGGCCGGACTTTGTCGCACGAAAAGTACCCCTTTACCGGACATTTTGGCAACAAGCATGCGGTCATTCCGACCCCTGAGTGGGGGGGGGGGGGGGGGGGGGCCGGGCACTAGTTACGCAAGGGAAACCGTTTACTATCTAGACTTCACTGTCAGACGCTGCTGAGTGACTGATTTACTTATATTAATTTGTTAATAACATGGATAAAATTAGATGTTAAGGGTACATTATCGTTAATACACATCGATAACTCGCTTCTTATAATGACCGAAATTAAAGTTATCGAGTCTTTACCCAGCACAAAACGTATACTTTGCGATACAAGGGTCTAAAAATATAACTACCTTCTAGACGTATTTTCGCAACGCGTTTTTAAAATGCATTATATGGTTTGATATAATTCCACATAGAGGCAATTACTAGTTCTAATCGTTTAAGAGGAATGTCTAGTTGGTATTATTTCTTGCTTACCATAGGATTTACATGATTTCAAATTTTCAGCCAGCAAAAGTGGCTGGATAGTGATTCTTTACAATGTTGATATATTTGGATGCCCCTGTGGATGTATTATAAGCACTGAACAAATTGGCCCCTAAAACACTTCTGCTTTCGAGAAAAATTAAATATAAAAATTTACCGGTACTCCCGGTAAATTTTGATAAATTTCAAATAGCGCCTACGGCCATACGATGGTAGCTGCGACCATGAAAATCTCAGAATATGCAGTTGTGATATATATATTCCAAATGGTAATAGCAAATCGGTCGATTTTAGTCAAATAACATTTTTTTTTTCAATGATATTTATTTTCTCCATTGCTTTTCACAAACAATAACAAAATCAATACATAAAATAATCTGCATGCTAATATTATTATATAGAATATGATTTTACATTCACATCTAAATAATACAAATGAACTTTTAGTACTATTTACATCAAATAAAGCATGAAACATGCATGCATGAAGAAGGCATGAACAGAAAAAGACATTAAGGGAAGGAAAAAAAATACTTACATACCCACATACACACACGTGCACAGACACCCACACAAACACCCACTTAAAACATGCCTACATTTTGTGGGAATCTCGACCATTATATCAGCCATGTCCATTTCATTGCTTCTATTCGCCTTCCTTATTTTATTTATTCTGCACGAAGTTATTCTAAAATTGTCCCACTTTCTAAAATGATATGTGAGTGTACCTCGGTCCCCAGCTAATTTCTTCTCCTCCTTTCTATTTTCTAATAATCTTTTCTTAATCTCTAAATAAGTTGGTGGTTTTTGTCTATTTTTACTATCTATAAATATCATATATTTTATCAAAATTATGATATGATTTAGTAACTGTTCCTTCCCTATGTTAAACTCAACCATCCCTACATGGATACCTTTCCAATTAATATTTGTAATTTCTACTAAATTAAATAAATTCCCACACTCTTCCCAAGTTGGTTTTACTTTCTCACAAAGACAAAATAAATGCTCGTAAGTTTCCTCATATTTACCAAAAAAGAACATAAATTACTATTAACCATTTTAAATTTATATAAATGTAATTTAGTATATATAATATTATAAAGCATTTTAAATTGAAATTCTCTAAGCTTACTATTCAATGTGCACTTTCTAAGTCTTAAAAATATTAATTGTATATTTTTTTAAAGCTAAATCAATATCTTGACCTTGAGAGGGCGCTATACAACATAAAGACTTTATTATTTACAATTTCATCACTTTAGACTCGATTTCAACCGAGACAACGATCTCTGAATATTGTAGGATCGCATATGCTTCCAATATGTTCATTTGAACCAGATTCATGACCCCATTCCAAAACTTTGTATTACCTTTAAGCACACATCAGTAGTATCCATAAAGCTTGTATTATGTTGTCGATAGCTTCCCACTGGGGTACTCCCGTAGTATATCTGGGGGTGCATGGATACTGCATGTGGATTATTCGGTAAATTAATCCTTATTGGCTGGTTGCAGGTGTTTAGCAGATGAGAGCTAATGAGAGCCGATGAGAGCTGATTGTTTAAAACCTAAAAAAGGAAGCACAGCCGATGACGCAGGTTCGAAACTGAGTCACGTCTTTCGGACGGTGACGTTTAAAGGTCGGTCCACAGACGTAAATAATTATATCTAATAGATACACGTCTGTAAAAAACCACATACATACACACGCACACACACGCATACACACATATCTAATCGTATTGGATGTAAACTCTAAAGCAGACTCAATACACAATCATTTGTAGATACAATTACATTTTATTTCATGATTCCACCATTATGATAAACATGCCTTCATACTTCATGAAGATCATGATGGTGGTGATGATAATAATAATGATATTAATGATAATGATGATTAAAATCATTATGATTTATCATCATCAACACCATTATAAGCATCGTCTACATATTGTAATTCATGTTAAAAGTGTATGTATGAACAACAAAAAGTTGATCAGGATGTATTCTTCTTCGAGCTGGTTAAAATAATTAGTATATTTGCGGTTAAATGATTTCATTAAAAGCAAATATCCGAATTCCGAAGTAAAATAGTAAATATACAAATATAAACAAAAGGAGAGAGGACGTAGTATAAGCATTTGCATAGATCATAGCGTATTTGAGAGGGAGAGTTGTGACACAAGCGATGTCATAGTTCAAATTATGGAGCTCCGATTAGCTCCCTCCCATGTACAATGGATGGGGGGAACTATTTGGGGTCCGTAAAATGACTGACCTATCTGGTTAAAAAAAAATCCGTAACCTGAATATCTTTCATTTAGCTATAGCATAAAGCATTAACAGAATCTCATATACACAAAAGAACAGAATTATATTATTTCATATAAAAACTAGAACGTAAACATGATTTCACACAGTGTTAAGGTTGTGCGAAAAATACAAGTAAAGTTTCGTCCCAGAAAGTCAGCAGTGTTTACAATTTCTTCTTCTATCACTACTGTGATTCCATTAATATTCATAATATGTTTATCCCTGCAGATCGACATGATTTGACGATAGTGTAGTAAAATAACACCTCCTTACTTTGGTCTAACAGTCACATTCAAACTCATCTTTGGCACGTATTATCAAAGGCTTCGACATCGATACCCATCCCCCTCAATAACTTTTTCTGACCACTCTATTGAACATCGAATTAGTTTTCTGTTATTAAAAAAAAAACATATCATTAAATAGGGCAAATAAGAACTTTAATGATAATTTCCCCTTTTTATATTGACATAATTGACATTTGATAATTCTAATGAACTCGCCACTCATCCATCCGTCAGTGCTTGCATAGAATTCACTCGTTGAATAATAATGATTAATACTAATTCGGTCTTCCAAGGTAACAATATTAGTATTAATACTGCTCTTTCTGAGGGCCCTACATTTAATTTTAATCCGGCAGGGTACGTTTTACATCTGGGTGGAGAGGGACTGGTTTGTTCGGGCAAAAATCTTTTCCTACAATGAACAGAGACTTCAGAGCCTTCATCGATTATATGCCACAGCTCCCATAAAGGACCCGCTTATGATCGTCTCTTGATTCAAATACTGAAACGCTTTCAAGTCAATAATCATTTACGGCAGCTATGCTAAACCCCTCGTTCATATCCAGACGACTTCGTCATTCGCTTTATCATCGACGGCTGCATCTGCGACGTCATCTTTCTTTTCCGGCTGAGACGGCACATCGCCGTCAACGATTTCTGTGATGGTTTCATCGTGGGTTTCATCGACACTGTCGTTGAGGGCGTCATGGACGGGAGTATTGGAAGATTCATTGACTGTTTGATCTCCAACCTGTTCCGATGTCGTTTGATTTGATGTAGTGTCTGATCCATTCGATTCATCAGCCGTGGTCGAAGAATTGATGTCGATGGTTTCACCATCATCGTAGACGCTGAAGGACTTGAGGTCGCCGATGCTAATAGTTCTTAGCTTACGGGTGACATCGAGCCTACCTTTGGTATCATTGTCACTATCACTGTCAATATCAACGCCGATAAAAATATCTCCATCATCGTCATCATCGTCGTCGTCTTCCACATCGTCCACTGTTTCCATGTATATCTTGGGAACTGAATCTCTTTTGGAATTTCCATTATGGCCGTTGTTTGATTCGGGATTTGAACCGACAGCGAAGTTGAAACGGTTGTTCATATTGTCATTGTCCCATTCTGCAGGAGATGGAAGGCTGGAACCTGAGATTGACCTCGATTGCATTCGGGAGGTCGATGAGGCACAGCTTGAGGGTTCCGATGAATCAGTGATAACACTCTCACCATCAGTGCTATCATCTGCGGATAATAAGAGAATATAAATTGGAAGATTTTACTAAAAATATATCTAAGTCTATCTACATTAGTTTGGCCAGGAAGAATAAGACCTCCCTGCGTGGTCACTGACAGGTGGTTATCTCATCAAATTAGCTCTCAATTAACATAAGAAATGAGGGACCATGGGGACCAAAGGGTACCGCTTAGACATTCTTTGCTTTATAGAGGACGCAAGTACCTACAAGTAGTGCAGTCCCGCTTAATAGAACGGAATAGGTTTTTCTGAACTCGGTATATTTCCCCTGAAAAAAAAAACACAACTTGGAATGATTACAGGTGTATCCATCATATAATGTAAATACTAGAGCATCCCTCTAAAAACATGACTAACCATTTAGAGGGGAAGACAGTGACAGACAACAGTGACAGAATGGCAGATTTACACGTTTAACAAGATGGGTCAAAAACTATAATCCAGTATGTTCATTATCATCATTAATTTTGATTAAAGTCAGCATTTTCCTTCATACCAGGGGTCACTGACTTTGGCATCATGATGACACTCCCTCCTTCCACCTTTTTTGTCTCGAATATCTTCCTCATTTTATAGACTTCCCTTATTGCTTTCTTAATTCACAATATCATTTCATGTAAAAATAGTTCATCTACCATTTTGAAAATTTAGTTCCTCCTCAGCCATTCTGAATTTCGGACTTAACACTTTGGTCTTTATAGTTATAGTAATATAGACCAGAGGCGTGTTTTAGCTGAGATCTAGACTTTTTCTGAATCTATTCACCATTACATTTTACTTGAATTCGAGCACCGTGGGTCCCTGGTTGCCTGAGAATTAGCACAAATTTTACTATTAATGTTCGAATTGTTGGCGTCACTGTTAAAATGAAGTCGCATGGTCCACAAGCAAGTAATCGCCCGAGGGCACAGAGTATGAAGATCAATTGGAACATATATAATCAGGAGCGCCAGAGTGTCAAGTCTGACAGACATGAGCGCTATACAAGAACCCACTAGTATTATGATTATTATTATTATTACCCCCCCCCCCCCTTTATAGCTTTTCTTCATTTCAAGAGGCTTAAAACAGGAGCCATCCCGTTGCGGTATGGGCAGCTGCCCATCAAATTATTTGTGTTCGTGAATAAGCCACATTAGAGATAGCATTTGTACAAATTAAACAAATAAATGAGTAAAATATTCACAGATATTCCACACATGGAGAGGTCCCACTTTAATAGTGCAAATTAGAATAATTACTGCCAAAGTAATGAAGGTGCTTCATGAAAACCTTTTGTGTTCCCTCTTAAAAAGAATACTTGCGCATAAATGAATAATGATTACAAAACTTTTCATGAACTCGTATCCATCCGTCGTCTCGATGGAGTTTTACAGTTTTGTACAAATGACATTTATCTTTATCTAGTATCTCCGAAATGGCTTATTAGGTAGATTTCCATGGACAAACGCGAAGTACATGTAGTATACAGTCGAGGGTAATATACAAATAACACACATCTATATCGTCTCGGGCGTGTTAGACTGTTCCAAAGGTACCTCGTGTGGGTAATTTTAAATAATGCCCGAACAAAATGATGTGTATTATTTTTTTTATAAGATTATGTTTTATTTGTTCTATAAAATGATGTTTTATAACATGATTTTGATAATGACTGGTCATTATCCAAATTAGGCGTTAGGCAAAATAAATGCGTGGTCACGTGTACGCTCTCAACCAATCATTTGATTAGGATCCACGTCATCATCTTTTAAACCTGGATAACGGCATGGACCTTTTACAGGTCCGTGGTTACGGTAAAGGTAACAGACTAACAGACCCAACTGACCGATATGGAATGTGATGTCCAGTTTCTCGTGTTCCGAATCCCTCTCTGTCTCAGCACCGACTCCACTCTGTCGACTTCCAGCCAAAATGACGGCTACTTGACGAGATTGATGAATATCGTCTGAGATCTGTTCTAAGTGCTTCAGAGCTCCTCGATACTTGGCCTTGCTTTCGGTGAGGGCGCTTTGTAAGGCTTCTGTTCGTATCTTCAGGTCGTTCAGCTCGTAGAAAAAGGACTTCTTGAGATCGTAGTAATCGCTGTTGTTGAGAAATGAAATGGTAAGAACAGTGGTCTTTGAGCAGGGAAATCTTTACATACGCCCAAACCCATCGCATCTTAATGGAAAACAGACCATAGGCAGGAACGGGGTATCAAGGATACGGTGAATCCTCGAGCCCCTTCGCCTGTCACCAGTTTGAAACAGCTGTAGGAAATGAATCATTAAATGTTTTGTTTGTGTGTGTGCATTTGTTGCATTTGTGCATTCTATATATGCTACGCATCAAGCAGGTAATATACACCTCTACCCTCCCCTTCACGCCTACAAGGATCCCTGCCCAACCCCGCCCCACCGCCCCCCCCCCCCCCCCCCCGTCCCCGTGTATATGTTTTGGATACGCCACAGGTACCCGTTTCACAAAGCCATTTTTCAATGACAAATGACAAAAACCAGTGACAAATCTGCTGATAACCAATCAGAACCAAGGATTTCAGTAGCTTATAACAAAAACTGTCATTTGTCACTGATGACAAGTTTTGTGAAACGCCCCACTGGACAGTGATTACTCACGCTGATTTGCCGATGGATCTCTTGAACTTCTTTGCAAGCTTGTCCACTTCTTGTTGAGTCGTGATGTAATGTTTGGATCGCTTCTCGTGTTCATGTTGGCTCTCTCGCTTCTCTCGCTCAGCAGCATTGAGCTTTAGAAATAGGGAATAACAAAGAATATTATCATTACAATATATATTTGTGTTGTATTCCATGTCAATGTCATGACAATAACATTACATCAAGTCTAAATAGTAATTGGTGAAGGCTTATGGCACTCAAGTGAAGGGATCTGGTTAAGTTCCTTGCTCCTATTTTACATCCTTGTATGAGGCGTTTTACCCACGTTTGCCCCTCTCGACCCAGGTGAATTAAATGGGCACCTGCACTGGTAGTACTATGGTTATAGTTAACAGCTATACGGTTACATTGCGTATTCCATGTTGTAATTATATACATAAAATATAACCCCCTTTGGTTCATTAGCAAATACTACGCTATGCCGAATGCGGTACGAATCTGTACCGACCTATAGAATAGGAGTCATCTCGTCATATCTCTCAGAAGAATTGGGAAGCAGTCGGGAAACATAATATTGTTTCCCAGTTTTTAATTTAAATATCAAGTAGGTTTATTGATCGACCCTGAAGCACCCATCACTGTAGGGCTGGACATTAAACCCGAACTACAAATGTAAAGAAAGATGGCATACCGCAAGCGTCAAGCAAGACATAACTAGTCTTTTACTGATCCATCATGCGCATTGTGCGCGAGGCGTTGTTTCGATTGGGCCATTATTATGCACCTATCGAGTATGTGAAGGCTATTAGCGCATACTTCAACGCATTGTTCCCTCTGTTTATTTTGCAACATGATGGACACGTTATCACTTTCACAAGGCGCGTCGAAGACTGCGTACACCACTGACGCAGTCCTCCGTCAGGCCATAACGCCTCATGCGCAGTGGACATGACCTTCGAGACAGTCTGCAAGCATTGTTTATTATGCTAAAGCCCATCTGTACTAGTGTACATGAGGGATAAGACCACCCTGCAAGGTCACTGGACAGGTGGTTATCTCATCAAATCAACACTCAATTAACAGGGGGAAAAGAGGATCATGGGGGACCAATGGTCACCGATTAAGGCATTGGCTACAAGTAGTGCAGTGGGGCTTTAACATACCTTTTCTGTGGATAGATTAAGCATCTCTTGAAGAGCCGAATCGAATCTTCTTCTTGAATCCTGCATCGGTTGTTTCTTGGAGTTAAGAGCCGCTTCCTCAGCGATTCCAATGGTTTCTCTGGCTGCAGAATACATCCCTGAGCTTCGCTGATAGCGAAGGGCCGCCTCTTGGGCAAGCTCCTGAGCCTGTGTGAGTTGAGGGAAAGATGGATGAGGGGCGATAAACAGGAATGAGTCAAACCAAAGCTTAGTAAACGGGATGGGAGGGGAAGAGTTGTGAGTATGCAAGATATATAATAGAGGGGAAATACAAAAATAAGTGGAGACAAATCGGAAGAGTATACTGACGAAATAGTGTAAAGACGAATGACCCAAGCAAATGTAACCCCCCCCCCCCCTCTCTCTCTCTCTTCCTTTCTTTCGTTCTCTCTCTTTTTTGTCTCTCTCTCTCTCTCTATCTTGCTCGCCCCTTCAAAGGATCAGCGTGCACATAATCATATAGTTCAGAATCTGGCTGGTTCTTCATATTATTATTCCCTACGATTGGTTCAAGCCACCGAAGATGGCGTTTGATATCAACGACTCATTATAATACGCTCACCAGTCCAGCTTACGTTTTTTTTTCGCCGGGCGATCACGCAATCTTCGGCTGGCAGAAAGTAAGAAAGGGGAGGTCGCATATTGCGTTGGTGTGGTGGAGATCTAAATTAAAAATGACAGATTCTGGACTAATTACAGGGCATAATGATCACTTGAACTTTCTACTCACTTTTCTAGCTTCTTCCTTGGCTGCATAGTAACCCTGAGCCTTCTGAGCTGACTTGCGACATTTCTTGATCTTCTCATTCAGGCTTTGGGTTGATTCGGTTAATGTCTGACGAAATGCTTGCCGAGATTCCTACCACAGAGAAACAACATTAGTTGAGTTCATTTAATGTTTGATGGTGATTGTTTCACCTGATTACTATATGTAAACAACCAGGAGACGGACGGCTTTAAGTCCTCTCCGAGGGACTTTGTAATGAGGAGTAATGCCTTACCAAAGGCCACGAGCGAATTGACTTGGTTTCGAACCCGGGACCTCCCGGTTTTCTTAGACCTCTGCTCTACCACTGAGCCATCACGTCTCCTCAATGCCAAAACTTCTAACTACATAACAGCAGTGCATTCAAACTCAGTTCCCGAAGATGATCATAAATGAAATGGATGAAAATTCGAATTCGTATTATCATGATTTTTAACTAGAGTTTTCTTTCTTAATCAAATACATTAAGAAATACATTTATCTTTATACAAACTTGACAGAATTGCTTACTATTTGTTTAAGAATTAGATATAACATACAGCTCCTCAAAAAGATAAATAGCGCACGAAGACGATTTTTTTAAAGATCATAAAACAAAAATATCCGCATAACGTTTAAAGAGTAAGGACGTGTTAAACCAGTAAACCTAATGCATACCATAATATACTTACATCTAATTGTTTTTCTAGCCGGTTGATTTCCGCAGAGGCTGTATTTAATAGTTCAAGCTCATCCTGTGTAGACGGAAGTAAAAAAAAAATAAAAAAAGGAGGTAATCTTTATTTAAAGATAAAGTTGAGTTCTGGTTATGCGATTGCATTGTGAAAGAAACGGTGTGGAACCGATTATGTATATAGCATATAAGTATTCGTGTGCAGTTACTTAAGTCTTCAAAATGAAGAGAAATTTGGCCCAGTCTTCGTAAAGTCACAAGCACTGTACACAGAAAGATGTATATGGAACTACACAAACATGTGGGCATAACAATCTAGCCTCATTCATTAGCTGTTGTACTTGTCATATTTAAAATATGAAGGCATTTGAAGAGCCATGCTTTTCAGGGAATATTTTCTCTGATGTTCTTCCACACTTACATAATAACAATGATAACGCTCACAATTATTGCTCACCTTTCCCCAGAACTCAACCTTCTCTTTAATGGTACATTGTATTACTTAAAACAGGCGCGGATCCAGGGGGGGCGAGCGGGCCTTGCCCCCCCCCCCCGCAAAAAAAGGGAGAGAGAGAAGGAAAAGAAGGGAAAGGAAAAGAGGAGAGAAAGGGAAAAAAGAAGAGGAAGAAGAAAAGAAAAGAGAGAAGAAGGAGATCGGGGGCAAAAGGACTTGCCTCCCAGGCTGTTGCCTCTCCCCCCCCCCCCCCCCCATCGAAAAAAAAAGAGAAGGAAGGAAAGGAAAAGAAAAAAGAAAAAAGAGGAGATATAGGGAAGGAAAAAAGAGAAAGAAGAAAAGAAAAGAAAGGGATATCAGTTACAATTTTCCCGCCAACAAGTTGTGGATCGGGGGGTCAAAAGGCCCTTACCTCCCCCCCCCCCCTCCCCCCCCCCCCCCGTCCCAGCTTTAAAAAAAAGAGAAGGGAAGGGAAATAGGAGAGAAAGGGAAGAAGAAAAAAAGAGAATGAAGAAAGGTAAGGGATATCAGTTGCAATTTTCCCGCCAACAAAGTGTAGATCGGGGGGGGGCGGCACTGGCGTACTTATAGAGAGGGGGGGGGGCCTTGGGAAATTCAAACGTGGCTTACTTCTAATTCCATAACGGTCGTTTAAAAAAAAAGCTGAAATGACATAATTTTCCGAGATTTTTCCTCACTTTTAAGTAAATTATACTTTTATATGCGTTTGTTGGAAAATGACAAATTCCTAAATTTACAGCCAGTCAAGAAAATGCTTTTTGAGATGCCTACATGTCAGGGCCCGCGGAACGACGGGAATCGGGATCCTCGAGCCCTCCCCACTTTTTTGAAAAAAACATATTAAAGAGAAATAGAAAGAAAGAGAGCAAGAAAGAAAAAATAGTTAACTGCCAGTGTCACATTATAATGAGGTTTCAAAATATGCTTATCTGACCATGATTAAATGCCTAAAACCCCGAGGGCTCTGCCCCCTGGATTCCACCCAGATTCCACCCAGATTCCACCCGTCAGATGCTCATCTGACGGTAATTTAATGCCTAAAACCCCTCATTTCAGGGGGCTCTGCCCCTGGACCCCACGCCAAATAGTGTCCTGCCAGTGTCACAAAATAATAAGGTATCAAAAAATGCTCATCTGACCGTAATTATACGCCTAAAACCCCTGAGCTTCCGGGGCTCTGCCCCCTGGACCCAACCAAGAGCCCTAAGGCGGGCCCCTTGATGCTCATCTGACCGTAATTGAGTGCCTAAAACCCTTGAGCTTCCGGGAGCTCCGCCCCCTGAACCCCACGCCAATTAGTGACCTACCGGTGTCACAATTAGTTATCAAAGTAATGCCCATCTGACCGTAATTAAATACTTAAAACCCCTGAACTTCCGGGGCTCTGCCCCCTGGACCCCGCCTAGGGTCCTAAGGCGGACCCCTGAATGCTAATCTGACCGTAAATCATTGCCTTAAACTCCTAAGCTTCCGGGGGCGGACAAGGTATCAACACATGTTCATCTGACCGCAGGCGCGTAGTCAGGGTGGGGGGGGGGGGGGGCTGGTGGGATGGTCCCCCCTAAAAACGCCGGCCAAAAAAGAGAGGAGTGAAAAGGAAGAGGACGTAGGAAGAAAAGTGAGTAGACAAAGAACATTTTTGAAATTCAGACAAGGATTAAGAGTCGTTCTAACGATACAACGAAACGTCTTCTTTCTCTAATAATTTAATAAAACGTCAAAGCTTTCCGCGCTTCGCGGAGGAGGGAGGGGGAAACTAGCCCCTCCCTGCACCCCCCCCCCCCCTCTCCCCAATTACGTCACTGCTGGTCGCCATTACGTACCAATATTTGGCTCGCATAATTTCAAATTTGGGCCCCCCCCCCCCTAAGAAATCCTGGATCCGCGCCTGACTTAAAACACATAGAAAGCGTTGTTTGATGAATATATAATACTTTGAGAGAGTATATTATTAGCAAATCGGCAAGTTCAGGTAGCTTTTTCGAACCAGACAGAAAGTAGGAGATGTTTTTATTAAAGTCACAGCGCAATTAAATCTTCATACAATGGTTTAGCTTTGAGGGGGAACGCCCCCTTCAGTTAATAAAGGGGGATGATGACTGTCACGAGAGGGAACAAAGCCACTAAGTAGTGAGAGGGAGGATCGTTATTCAGTCTTACACCGTTCTAATCCTTTTCCCCACTTCTTTCCATCTCTCTTTCTATTTTATTCGTTTTCTTCTTTTTTATTAAATATATGAAAGGGTCACATAGCTCCCCCCCCCCCCCCTCCCCTCTATATCTGTGCCAGTATTCCGAAATATTCTGCTTCTGAACAATCACAGTGTACATTATTAAATAAATAATCATGCCAAGATAACGATCAACATGTACTCTGATCTGTTTAGGTAATAGCCTGAATGGAAGGAAGAGCATTTATCAATATTATTGCCCTTGTCATATATATTTGATCATAGATAGTACCGACCTAAATTAGGTGACAGCATGAAAGTCCATATTTGTTAAGCAATTGATCTTTGAAATATCGTCCTTTCCCTGATAATCATGACACTCGGCTAAAATAATTATACTCATTTGGCAACATAAAGAACAGATGATATCGCTTCGTGCTTCATTTAGACTTACTTGTAAACGTCCTTTGTTATGGACATTCGTTATAATTATGCTCGGTCATGATATAATATTTGAGATTAAAAGAATGCTTTTTAAATTGGATGCAGCTTTAAGCATAATTTATGAAGAAATTAGTACTCAAGTTACTTAAACACACAGTGTATTGTATCCGCAAATAATAAACCAGTGAATTGTACTTCTCTTTTGATAAGCTAACATTTATTTGACATTCAAGATTCAAGATTCAAATGAGGTTTTATTCAATACTTGTCAAAAAGTCCAAATACTAAAAATGCAAGTTTACAGCAAACATATACAATCATATAAAAAATATCATTCAAAAACATATATTTATATATATATATATAAAACACAGAAAATGGGAAAAAATATATAAAAATGAATAAATGTTTACATCAAAACATCAAAGCAAGTGGTGAACGCGTACATACAGGCGCGGCTCTAGAAGAACAGTCGGGAGGGGGCTTCACTATGATGTTCTCGAATTCATTTCTGCCTCGCTTAAATTCGTGTATGGTCAATTTTTGGATGTTGAATATTTATGGGGGTAGGGGTTGAGCCCCAAACCCCCTCTAAAACAGTTGATGTATACTTGATTAGATAACAGAGCACGAACTGAGCCGGAAATCCTATCAACTGTACGTTAATTTTGAAACATGTCCTCGTAAAGGTGTAAATCAGCTTTACTTATCAAACCTAACGTTTATTTCAATACCTTCATTGTTCATCATATCATCCAAGGGAAGAGACGGATGCGGGTTTTCGTAAGGGCGGGGGCACACATTCCTTCGGTTATATCTTATTCATTTTTTTTGGTTAAATTTGACTTTGATGTATATACTTAAGGGATTGACCATAGACAGGCCTGTAGGCCTATTGTCGATCCCACCATATATGTTATGTTATATTTATGGTGTATTCTTGTTTGTCTTTTGATTGTTTTGTATTCTTATCAGATTATGGAAATAAACTTGAAATTTGAAACTTGAAAAGATTCTCCGCAGACAAGCAAAAAGGGGAATTAAAATATTTAAAGTGCATTTGGGATCAAATATTGTAAAAGGGTACATCTTTTCGGGGGCTGTACTTCTGGTATATACCAACATAGTTTTATCGGCTGTCCCACACTACCCCCCTCCCCCGTCCAATATTTGAAAGGGGACACTTATTTTCATAATGTACTCTTTGGGTAAGCCACTGATTTTGTTCCAGGCTGTACACCCCCACCCCAACCCCCCCCCCCCCCCGCAGGCACCCACCCACCCACCCACATCCACACATCCACACACGCACGCGCACGCACATACTTCATGCCCAAAGCCTGTATTGCATCACTAGAGCTAGAATGAGATATGGGATGAGTGTTAAACACGATGACAAACTGTCGCGCCATATATGAGAGAAAAAAATAACAGTTCTCATAAATAACATAGGCCTATAAATGTACTGACATGATTGGTATTGTGCACCTCTATGAGGTTTAGTTGAATAATCTTAAAGCCTCTTAGACCCCTTGATTGCTCCTTTTGTGTACACCAACAAATACGCAAACATTACACTTCTTCGGTTTCAGCATCTCCTTAGCAAATATTGAATTAACCTTCATTGTCTATGCAAATCTGACCTTCGTTCCTTTGGTCCCACATAATTATCTAGACAAGTATTTGTTGACGAAGCAAGAAACTGATAAAAATAGAAGATGTGTTCAGATTTCAAAGGTCATTACTTAATGACACCCGTGATGACCTTTCTGCTTTTATTTCGGTCATACGAACCTCTAGATTTCAAATATTTGGGTAATAAAAGTTTAACGTTATGTAAGTGACATTGCTAAGACAGCTACGAGACCATTTCAATTAATGCTTGTGTAAGACATCTCTGTATGGTACGTAAAATTGTACGTTCCATGTCACCCAATTATTAAGCGATTAAGCAAATCTGCACTTGTGGCAATTCAATCTTTTCTTACATTTCCTCGTTAATTTTGACCAATATATCTACCATTTGATATTGGGACATTTACATTCGAACTATTTTGTTTTAATATAATCTCACTTCCTATAATTTACATGTAAATGACAATATGTTACGTAAAATTTATAACACATTTCATTATATACAGTAGGCTTGCGGTTGCACCATGCGAGAGAGAGAGAGAGAGAGAGGGGGAGAATTGGGGAGTCCTGAAAAATTGATAGCGGTCTTTTTTCTTTCCTGTGTTATCTTTGGTTGCCGTACCCCCCCCCCCCCCCCCACCTTGTTTAAGTACATGCTGATTTTTGTTGTATATTATGACGACATCGTAGACAAAACAGTATGCTCAGTGTCACGCACTAGAATGAAATGTAAAGTTACAAGGAAATAATGGGTCAATGAATCTTGTATATAGGAAGTATTGCTCTTACCACCTTCCTCTTAACACTGCGTGTACAGTTAGCCTAATTGGTTTTCAAGTTCCGGGACCACGTTATCCGCGAAGTAATGTAAAACATAACGAAAATCAAGTGCACTATACGATAGTCCACTTTGACAGTTACTTTATTTTTGTATGAACTATTCTTTTGATTTTATTCTGTTTTCATTAATACACATCATACGTTACCACTAACCCTTTCACGCGAAATGTATGGCATTGAAATAGGTAACAGACATTATTGGGGTCATCATATTGAACATAAGTTCAGATGTAAAGTCCTTTTAAAGAAGCAAATTATAATCATATAAACGGGAATGATATGGAATTAGGAACAAAGAAATGGGAGAAGGACAGATGAGGGCTTGGGAGAGAGAGAAAGACAATAAAGCGCATAAAAGTATAAAATATATTGCAGAAAATGTTGACACTTATGAAAGTTTAAGACCCACCCCCCCCCCCCCCGTAATTTTATAAAGATATAGGCCTAGTTCAATTCAATTCAATTCAAATTTTAATGATTTAAACCTCTATTATGTGTTTTGTTATACATTGGATGGATAACAATTTTGTTTTAATTATATTGTAACAAAGATAATTTAGTGTAAGAGTGAAGATGACAATAAGTATATAGGAATGACACAAATTAACGTATAACTGCATGTCTACAATGTCGCAATGATATAAAAAGATATAAGAAAGAGAGAGGGAAAGGGTATATCAACATTATAAAAGACATCGCCAAGAAGCTTCGGTGTTTAAACGTGCACCCTCTGATATTGCCTATCATTATTCCAAATAATTATATAAGATGAAGATAAATAACTTACCTTAATCCTTGGATCTAGGACTGCCCCATTGTTTGAATCCATACTGCTCTCAGACATCTTCCTTCCTCTTCACTCTCTACATCAACAATACAATCATCAATGATTCCGGTAAGAGTCTACTCAGCAAGAAATACCTCCAAAAACTTCCTTTCGTTCAAGAATATATGCTGTACTAATATATTCTTGTAGAAAGGCAGTGAATTGTGTTTGCAGGGGGAGTTGAGCTAGGAGACGGACCCCTTAGGGACGGACCAGTGACGTCTCTAATGCGATCCCAATGTCAACTAGTCTTTGAAGTAGACAAAGTGATTTTCCAGATACACTGATCAGAAGTCGATTTCGGAGCAAGTTCGCCGGTAGGTGACTGTCATAGGCTTGTACCAGATTTATGAACTTTGTTTTGTGCGCCGAAAATGAGAACAAAGGATTCTACACAGCGAGGATGTAGCACTATGCTCTACGTCATGTTTGGTTAACATATTATTTTGGGATGTTGCCTGGTACAACAGATTGGCACCACAATAAAATCCTCTTTAACAAAAATTCTGATCCATCAAAGTACACTTCGATGGCTAATTTCGTAGCTGCTAAAACGAAGCAAATTAGCTTATCTTCATGTCTGTAAGCAAATGCTAAACGAAGAGGGAAACGCTATATGGATGCCTCCAGATAGTTGTACAGAAGTGACAATGTTAACAGTTGTACGTTTCACGCTAGAATTCCTAATCCGTTGATCATAGACAATCTTTTGTTTCTGCCTATTCGTACACGCCCCTTTTGGTGTCCATGCCTCGTACCAATGGACTTCGGACTAGTTTACCGTTCATGCATAACATCAAAACAACAAGAGGTGCATTTAGTGAGCTGTAAGTTATAAAGAAATCGGTAATTAATATTCTCAAAACAAAAAATAAAATCGCACACTTTAGCTAGGGAAATATTGTCCTTATCGATGAGCACAAACCCTGTCAGAGATCAATTGTCAGGATTTTTACACCTACTAGAACAATTAAGTAATGCTATGTTTTTAGTTCAAATTGCATGATGAAATTAGATTTCAATGTTGCGTGGGTTTATTGTATTATTATGTTACCTGAATTATTCTTTTTTTTTTTTTCATCAGCCTGGTACATGTGTTTTTTCCGGGTGTAAGAGTTTATTTTCTATTTGTTATCAACAATTCATGGGTGCCAAATAGGCTAGTTGTACAGGTCGATTCTAGGGGAGATAGAGGGGGCTTTGGTGCTTAACTCCCACCCGCCCCCCATTTATCTTGACTGTAAATTAGTACATGTGTAAAATGTATGAAAGAATCCCCAAGCACCACCCTCCCCCCCCCCCTCCCCCACACCAAAACAAAACAATGTATATATTCTTCTAGATCCTACCCCTACCCCCACTGAACCGTGTTATATTGAAGTCGACAGGTAAGTTAAATAGTAGGAGTTTAATATGAGGGGTCCATAATATTGTACAAGCATTGCTTTTTTAGTGAAACCCTCCGTTTCCAATATGCATTCCTAAATTGTGTAAATGTTTATAATTGATTTGTAATGTTTTGTTGGAAACGCAAATACATTGAATTGAAATTGGAATATGAAGAAATTGTTATGGAACTATGATACTTCTACCTTCGATTCATTCATACCTCGTTGCAGTTTTTATTAATCAAATATCAAACCAAATTAATCTGATAATTTGTTTTGTTTTTTTACTATTTTGTATTACATGTATTTAATTCACTTCACGACATTTGGGGGAGGAGGGAGGGAAAGGAGGGGTTTCACTAATTAAATATTGTATCATAAAAATATAATCTTTACATTATTGGCTACATAATTAGGAGCGAAAAAACTATATAGTATTGCTGCAGGGATCATCAGCACTTTTCCTCTTGTGCAGCAACAAATAGTTTCAAAGGACCCCCCCCCCCCCCCCAAAAAAAAAAAAAAAAAAAAAAAAAAAAAATCATGGTTACAATCAATTTGACATAATGCAGAACAAGTATTAAAATTACCAGTAATTTTGATACTAGTGGTGAATGATGATGTTGGTGATGAGGATGGTGACGAGGATGATGATGATGATGATATTGATGGCCATGGTGATGGTAATGGTGATGATGATGAAGATGAGGATGATGATGATGATGATGATGGTGGTGATGGTGATGATAATGGTGATGATGATGATGATGATGATGGTGATGAGGATGATGATGATGATGATGGTGATGATGATGATGATGATGGTGATGATGGTGATGGTGATGATGATGAAGATGATGATGATGATGATGATGATGATGATGATAATGATGGTGATGAGGATGATGATGATGATGATGGTGATGGTGATGAGGATGGTGGTGATGGTGGTGATGGTGATGTCGATGGTGATGGTGATGATGATGATGATGATGATATTGATGAAAATGATGTTGATGATGACGATGATGATGATGAATGAATGAATGAATAAATAAATAAATAAACAAACAAGCACTGTCTCCAGATATTATCTGTTAAAATTTCACAGATGATTTAATATTTAATAGCAACAAACAACAACAATACAATCAACAGCCATGTCTGGCTGGCCATTGTATATTCTATTCACATAAATACACTCAAAACATAGCGGATACAAAACCAATCCCTTTAGTTTCTTACGAGAGTCATAAGGGTTGACAGAGCCTACATCCCTTTGGCTGATGTATTCTCATATACATGATCCCAAAGACTTTCAATAAATCACCCCAAGGCAATTTCAATGGCTTCGTCTGTGATCTATTGTAAAATGCCACATTATAATGATGTATTACATAATCATAGCAGGATTTCTATGGGATATACAATAGGGAAATATAGCCCTCAAGTAGATTTCTTTATAATCTTTGTGATCGTGTTCATAAAGCGATATCCTTATCTCTCCTGGTTAAAATACTATAACACTAGTGTGGAATAGCATAGGTGCTTACAGCAGATTCCTGATGTAATATAAATACATTTCTTGTTTTATACATTATCTTCTTACTCTCCTCTTAATTCTTTTAAATAGTTGTTAAGTGCAAGGTATTTTTTTTTTTGTACAAAAAATGCCCTTAACTTATCTTTGTTAGAAATCTTATGCTTGAATATACAAATGCCATTGCAACAGCATTCATTTCATAATCGAAATAGACATTGGAACATATAGATCATACTTATACAGAGATCCATGTATATGACAATAACATTGCAAATGAAAATGGATTTGCCAAAATAGGGCATAACATATAGACATAAAGAAAGAGAAATAGAAAGAGTTGTAGTCCCCATTGTGGCTCAATCAAAGGATTCAGTTTAATTACCTCTAATCACATTCAAATATCATTTTTAAGAACATTGTTTTCTCATAGGGATGTTCTATGTTTTGTACCATATCATAAAATGCCATCACAGCATTTTCCAGTGAAAATGACTTCATTCTTGCTTAAATGTTGACAACATTTTCGGCACACTTACTCTCTAGAACGTAAGGGATAAGATGAGATAAAGCATAAGGGAAATATAAAAGAAAATTTTAATCAGATTTAAATGATATGTTAGGTACACAGACATAGGGAGCTCCTTCATACATCTATCTCTGATATATTGTACTAACTGGGCACAGTGCAACATTCACAACATACAATAAAATTGACTTCTCTAAGCAATATCTTCTCAGTCAGGCACACAGTGCCATTTGTTATCATCTGAACACTGATTGTAGTTAGGATCAGGCAAAACATAAAATGACTTCACTAAAGTTCAGGAAATACAAATACTCAAAAGATAAACATCAACTTTCCAGTGAATTACAACAACAACAACAAAAGTACCACAACAAAAAAGTTTAACCATCACAATACTGCATCAGAGTTCAGGCAAGCGGTTCATTATATTATTGACCCTTTTATCCTTCTGGTCATTCCTGATAAGTCTGTGACCCCTAACATACAAATATTGGTCAGTGTCAAAACCACACCCCTCCCCCCCCCCCCCCCCCAATTTCATCTCATAATATTGATAATATTCTGGACTTATATTTCTCTTCATACATCGACAGTGCCTCTAAGTGCTTTACAGATCTATTACAGATGTATACTTGTATGTAGTACATACAATCAAATGTCTTTACCCCCACTTATAAACATTTCGTACTCCCCTAAGATCTTAAATCACCACCATGAGGACCACAATCCTAAGAACAACAAATAATGCTTAACGCTGTGCTGGTTTGAAATAGGACATCATTATACGATCAAATTCACTAAACCACAACAAAGATACACACAGCATTTTAATACATCTGTCTAATCTTGCCACTTTTTAACGTCCATATTCAACTGAACAGCAGGGGAGTGTTTCACAAAGACTAAGATCGACTTAACTTGGACTTGAACGATGGCAGGCCGTTCATGTCCCTGGTTGCTCTCACCATTCCTGGCATAGGTCTCTCAAGGGACGTACAAATCGTGGTTACAAATCCACATTTTTTTCTTCAACAATGAACTGTAAGAAAATTAAATTCTGTAGATTTGTGACATCCCTTGAGATACCAACGGTGAGAGCAACCAGTTCAACTCCAATTAAGGTTGATCTTAGTCCTTGTGAAACACCCCAGGAATGTATGATGAATTAACCGATCGTCAAAAAACTTTCAATTTGAGAGTCAGAAGGAATTTAAATATGTGGGTTTTAAACCTTCTGGTGCACTTCATGAAGTTTGATGGGAAAAGAATGATGTAGTTCATGTTGAGGTTCACTGGATAAGTTTGGTTGGATCCACAAAATTTAAATCTTTAAATTCAGTATTTTTAAGGGATCTTTCTTCAACAAAAGTCACATAATCATCATCAGCCTTTAGAGTCCATTTGTCCCACTTTGTGGGGTTGGACATGTCATTTCCTTAATGGCTGCTTTCCAAGTAGCTATTAACTAAAGCCTGATGTTTTAGCATCTTCTTCTATGGTTTCCCTCCAAGTTTTCCTGGGTCTCCCACAAGGTCTTGTTCCGGTGACCGGAGAGTTTAGAGCCCTCTGGAGCCAGTGTGTTGCCTCTATTCTTAATAAATACATTAAAAACCAAAGCACAATAGGGTTTCCTGCATCTTTATAGTTAAATAGTAATATTCTCCTTTTCAAAATATTGAATATCTCAAGTATACCATCATAATATGACATTGCGACATCTCTTTTACTCACAAATATTTAATTATAGGGTGTATCAATAGTTTGGGCAGGAAAGTTCAAATATTGACACACCTTACGATAATTATCATACATATGTATAATCTTTTATACATAAACCATGCTGTCCCTTAATTTCAACTCCAATGTTTTCACATTTTGAGTAATATTACTGACTGCATTTGTTTTCACTGGGATATTCTTAGTTCTTAATCTCATAAACTCTCTTACTGCTCTGCTTCTTGAGAATGACATTAATTGATTTACGAGTTGCACAATAAAAATACTGCCCCCTCTAGTTGACAACAGAGTTGAGATCCGCAAAGTATTGATGCATGAGTCCCTCTTCCGCTGACATCCTCAGGGCTGGATTACACATCATCAGACGCTGAGAAAAGCAAATAAAAAACAAGAGACAAAATTAAATGCAATGTAGACATAGGATAGTATGGATGTGTGCTTTCTGGGCCCTGTTTCATGAAACTTGATATCAATAACAAGTTACAAGCTACTGTTATAAGCTACTGAAATCATGGCATCTGATTGGCTGAGAGCAAACTTGATATCAATAACAAGTTTCAAGCTACTGTTATAAGCTACTGAAATCATGGCATCTGATTGGCTGAGAGCAAACTTGATATCAATAACAAGTTACAAGCTACTGTTATAAGCTACTGAAATCATGGCATCTGATTGGCTGAGAGCAAACTTGATATCAATAACAAGTTACAAGCTACTGTTATAAGCTACTGAAATCATGGCATCTGATTGGCTGAGAGCAAACTTGATATCAATAACAAGTTACAAGCTACTGTTATAAGCTACTGAAATCATGGCATCTGATTGGCTGAGAGCAAACTTGATATCAATAACAAGTTTCAAGCTACTGTTATAAGCTACTGAAATCATGGCATCTGATTGGCTGAGAGCAAACTTGATATCAATAACAAGTTACAAGCTACTGTTATAAGCTACTGAAATCATGGCATCTGATTGGCTGAGAGCAAACTTGATATCAATAACAAGTTACAAGCTACTGTTATAAGCTACTGAAATCATGGCATCTGATTGGCTGAGAGCAAACTTGATATCAATAACAAGTTACAAGCTACTGTTATAAGCTACTGAAATCATGGCATCTGATTGGCTGAGAGCAAACTTGATATCAATAACAAGTTACAAGCTACTGTTATAAGCTACTGAAATCATGGCATCTGATTGGCTGAGAGCAAACTTGATATCAATAACAAGTTACAAGCTACTGTTATAAGCTACTGAAATCATGGCATCTGATTGGCTGAGAGCAAACTTGATATCAATAACAAGTTACAAGCTACTGTTATAAGCTACTGAAATCATGGCATCTGATTGGCTGAGAGCAAACTTGATATCAATAACAAGTTACAAGCTACTGTTATAAGCTACTGAAATCATGGCATCTGATTGGCTGAGAGCAAACTTGATATCAATAACAAGTTACAAGCTACTGTTATAAGCTACTGAAATCATGGCATCTGATTGGCTGAGAGCAAACTTGATATCAATAACAAGTTACAAGCTACTGTTATAAGCTACTGAAATCATGGCATCTGATTGGCTGAGAGCAAACTTGTTATCAATAACAAGTTACAAGCTACTGTTATAAGCTACTGAAATCATGGCATCTGATTGGCTGAGAGCAAACTTGATATCAATAACAAGTTACAAGCTACTGTTATAAGCTACTGAAATCATGGCATCTGATTGGCTGAGAGCAAACTTGATATCAATAACAAGTTTCAAGCTACTGTTATAAGCTACTGAAATCATGGCATCTGATTGGCTGAGAGCAAACTTGATATCAATAACAAGTTACAAGCTACTGTTATAAGCTACTGAAATCATGGCATCTGATTGGCTGAGAGCAAACTTGATATCAATAACAAGTTACAAGCTACTGTTATAAGCTACTGAAATCATGGCATCTGATTGGCTGAGAGCAAACTTGATATCAATAACAAGTTACAAGCTACTGTTATAAGCTACTGTAATCATGGCATCTGATTGGCTGAGAGCAAACTTGATATCAATAACAAGTTACAAGCTACTGTTATAAGCTACTGAAATCATGGCATCTGATTGGCTGAGAGCAAACTTGATATCAATAACAAGTTACAAGCTACTGTTATAAGCTACTGTAATCATGGCATCTGATTGGCTGAGAGCAAACTTGATATCAATAACAAGTTACAAGCTACTGTTATAAGCTACTGAAATCATGGCATCTGATTGGCTGAGAGCAAACTTGATATCAATAACAAGTTACAAGCTACTGTTATAAGCTACTGAAATCATGGCATCTGATTGGCTGAGAGCAAACTTGATATCAATAACAAGTTACAAGCTACTGTTATAAGCTACTGTAATCATGGCATCTGATTGGCTGAGAGCAAACTTGATATCAATAACAAGTTACAAGCTACTGTTATAAGCTACTGAAATCATGGCATCTGATTGGCTGAGAGCAAACTTGATATCAATAACAAGTTACAAGCTACTGTTATAAGCTACTGTAATCATGGCATCTGATTGGCTGAGAGCAAACTTGATATCAATAACAAGTTACAAGCTACTGTTATAAGCTACTGAAATCATGGCATCTGATTGGCTGAGAGCAAACTTGATATCAATAACAAGTTACAAGCTACTGTTATAAGCTACTGAAATCATGGCATCTGATTGGCTGAGAGCAAACTTGATATCAATAACAAGTTACAAGCTACTGTTATAAGCTACTGTAATCATGGCATCTGATTGACTGAGAGCAAATTTGTCATAGAAATTTAGCATTTTTTATTGATAAAAAGTTTTATGAAACGGGCCCCAGAACTGAAGAAATCTTTTACGGCAGGGTATTTTACCAACATTGATACCACAACTGTAATGTATTTTCAATTGCACCATCTTTCCGTGAAGGGCTACATAGAATGATTTCCAGGGTATTCTACCTAAGTGTCAGTAAGTGATGCATTATGGGACATGGCTGTTAACATATCAGTTCATTGTGAGAAGCAGATGGCAGTATAATCTGAAGTAGTGTCAAAGAATACCCTGCATTGGAGTTCAAACAACTTTATCTTGCACTCATGCAAGTGAAATGCTGGAAAGAACAAAAATCTGGACTCAGAAAACTGATTCATCTTCAGGGTCATGTGTGTGTGTGTGTGTGTGGAGGGGAGGGGGGGGGGGGTAAGGAATGGAGTGGAAGCTTAGAATATATGCACCATCTCAAAAAATCATTCAGGATGTATTGTTTTATCAAAATTACAATTACTTTACAATTGCTGACTAGAAAAAGATCATACTGTATTGAGTCTATGGGAATAAGAGAATATCTAATGCAGTCAATTGGTTCAGGGTGATATGTCATCATCATCCTTTCGCCAAATAAAATATAATGAAACATTAAAGCATTATGTTTACTGGTAGTACAACATTTAAAGCTTATCTGCATACTTTGTAATGTAGGAATTAGACCTCCCTGCATGGTCACTGACAGGTGGTTATCTCATCAAGTCAGCTCTCAATTAACATAAGAAAAGGGGGACCATGGGGGGGTCAACGGTTACCACTTAGGTTTTGTTGGATATATAGAGGGCGCAAGTAGCTACAAGTAGTGCAGTCCCGCTTATGCTTAGAGACTTCTGATAAAGTAAGTGTTAGGCGCTATATAAGCAAGGATAATTATTATTAGTACATCATTTAACAGTCTGTGGTGGATAGGTGGCAGTGTATTTTAATATTATTGTGCAAAAAAAACAAAAACGCATCATATCTGACCTGCAAGAGATCCCTTCCTGTTGCTGATAGACTGGGCACGACAGAGGCCAGGGGTGTGGTCACAGGATAGATAGGGTATGGCTGTGAGAGAGAACAGATTATAAATGGATTATAGTCAATAACTGAATGAGCCTTGATAAATAGAAAAAAAAAATTATTCCTATCATTCAATGAAATGCATTCATTCATTCAACTAAATACAATCAACAAATGAAAAATCACACAAAAAGATCCCCAAAGTTTATCCTCAAGTACAATATTGCTGTTGAATTGCATTTAATGGCTGGCTGGTACAATTGAAGGCAAGTTTCAACAAGAGGCAATTATAGATCAGTTGCGCTCAAAGTCTATTTGTTCATTAATTATTTCTCTCTGTGTTTGCTCACAGGAGGATGCTCTGATATACTACGAGACTTACATATGAGAAATAAGTGAAACAATTATGATATCTACATTTATGCTTTTTGCATAGCTGTATGTTGAATTGTCCTCATCTAAAAGGAGGGTAAGAGGGTAGACTAGGTCATAAATTGCTTACCTTGAAATCAGGGAGTTTTGATATTCCTGGCCATGTATCCTCTGTGGGTGTACCAAGGAGCTTGAAGATCCTCTTGAGCTGATCCTCGACGTCATTACCAGGGAACAGAGGGCGCCCCGCATTAGCCATCTCTGAATAAAGAACAAAGATACAGGAAGTAATGGTGATAACTTGGCATGAATGGAGCAGGAACAGGGTAATGTGTTTCATAAAGACTAAGATAGACTTTAAGCGGAAATTAACTATGGCAGGCTGTTCATGCCACTGTTTGCTCTCACCATTTACTGGCATTGGTCTCTCAAGGGATGTTCAAAATAATCGTGGTCACAAATCTACATTTTTATTTAATTCATTATTGAAGGAAAAGAATATTATCTAAAGATCATAATGGTGAGAGCAAACAGTGGCATTAATGGCCTGCCATAGTTAAGTACGACTTAAAGTCGATCTTAGTCTTTGTGAAACACTCCCCTGGTGCTGTTTCCTTATTATTTTTTAATTCATTTATTATTTTTTCATTTTATTATTCCGGTAGGGTCAGTTTAGTTTTTAAATCTAGTTGCTTTTGTTTCATGCAATGTTACCTTTCTCCGATATAAGTGTACACTTCTATACCATTACCTTGTGCATTCCACAAATTTCTCATTTTACATAAATGTTACAAATTGATTAGTTACCTTTTGTTTTTGATAGATTACATTACATCATCTGAGCAGCAGCGAATCAATCTGATTGGTCTATTCGGTCTCTCATTTAATACAGGGACTGCTGGTGTTACCAGCTGCCAACAATTAGCTGTTGTTTGCTATTGTTTGCAATTACACAACATATATAAGAAAAAATGGAATCAAGCAAGATTTGCAAAAGGTTTAACTTGTAGAAAACGCAAGCTTGTCATTGTCATGCGAGTCTGCAGGCTTAATGCTATACAAATTTGATGACCCTTCGGGCCAATACTTCGGCTTCACTGATCTCACTTCCATAAACTCTAAATGAGTTTTGTTATTTTACATCCATAAGAGCATCCAGTGTATTGATATATGTAAGTCATTTTTCTATCACACAATAGTTAATTTTAGAAACTGCCAGCAATTGTAGGAAAATCTATCACACCATAATTGCACTGTTCTGAAACTGAATTAACAAAAGGTAGTGTATGTATTTTTTTTTTTTTCGTAACTGAAATGGTTGTCCTAGGAATGGCCCGCAATGATAAGAATAATGAGCCAACTATCGTTTACCTGCAAAGATGCATCCAGCAGACCACATATCAATGGAAGTGGTGTAGACCTTAGCACCAAACAGGACATCAGGTGGGCGGTACCAAAGGGTCACGACCTCTGCGGAGTAGCAACGCACGGGAATGCCAAAGGCACGGGCAAGACCAAAATCAGCTAGCTTAAGCTCTCCATTCTGTGTGGCATGAAGTTGAGATAAATGTAGTGAGATGTTAATAGAGTCTATACTGGAAAAGTGAAGCATCAAAGGAAAATAATTGAATTTACATCCAATTTTGTCTCATGGTAATAATAATTTTGAGACAACACATAACTGAATTATTTCTTATGTAGTAGGTCTGTTTTTACCAGTACAACAAACTTCTACAAAAACCTGCTTGAAATTCATTCACTGAAAGACACAAATCAGATTATGCACATGGAATACAATATGTCGAACATCTGATCAGAAAGACTGTACTAGCTCCATTTCCATATCTTTCCTTGCTCATTACAGTCATTACATACTCTTATCAACTGGCACTGGGTATAAATACAGTCAAACCTGCTTTAGTGACCACCTCTCTACAAAGACCACATATTGTGTTACCCTTGAAAATGGTTTCTCATTGAAACACATACTAAAGGAACCTGTCTACAAAGACTACCTGTCTTCAAGAACCACTTTTTGAGTTTCCCTTGGGTGGTCACTATAGACAGGTTTGACTCTAATATACTACTAAGTCAAGCATACTCCCACTGACTTGGCAAGTTTGTTTGTTGTTATTTTTTTGTCTACTTTTTTATTTTCCACAATCTTTGGAAGTTCATGCCTTGCTAGACAAGTGTCTTTCTCTAATAGACCTAAGTAAGTCATGAGCAGTCTCTGACATAAGGGCCCGCATTATAAAGATTTACGATTTAGCGTAAGATTAATAAGTCAAGCGTAACTTTGACAAAACAAGCATATCTCTTCAAATTAAGAGTAACTTACGCTTGATTTCCAAGGACGTTTATAATAGGGAAATTGGCCAAAAGTTACAATTGATAATGAATAAATCTTAAGATCGATCTTACGCTTATAATCTTTATAATACGGGGCCAAGATGTGATAAACAATGTAAAACAGTAATAAAAATAATAATAATGATAATATGTCTTGTTTACCCAGGGTAGCCTCATCAGTATTCATACTGTTCTCCCTGAGGGCCCTGCAATCATATTATTGGGGTAATAATAATCGGACTCAGGCTTACTCGCACACAATGTATGCACATTCTCCACTCCCTGGGGAGTATTCCAGCCAGGCGTCATTTTTACAAGCACACACTTGCTAACTAAGCACATTAGCTTTGTCATCCTACCGGGTACCCGTTTAACACCTGGGTGGAGAGTGGCAAATGTAGATCAATGTCTTGCCTAAGGACATTAGTGCCGCGGTGGGACTTGAACCGCGGACCTTGTGATCCACAGTCCAGTGACATATCCACTTGTCCACGACACCTCTACAGTGTCATAATTCCTAATTGAAAGAGAATGTGGCTTGGTATCCCTGACTCACCTTGTTAATGAGGAGATTCTGTGGTTTGAGATCACGGTGAAGAACATGATGACTGTGACAGAAAGCCAAGCCTCTCAACAGCTGGTACATGAATGACTGTTAGGAAGAAAAACATAAAGAGGTATATTACCATGGCAACTTCATGGGCTATACATTGTCTCACAACAAAGTAGCAAGAACATGAGCAAAGGAATAATTGCAATTTTATCCAATCAATCATCATTATTGTTATTTTTATCATTATCATCATCATCTCCTACATTGTCAGCATGATTGTCATAAAACATGTCAAGTTTGCAACACCACCAATACTTTAGCATCAATCATGACTTTTATAGACAGTTCAACACCGTCAACTCCAATGTCTCCTGTATCTATCACCACTATCATATACATGTAGCAGCATGTTCATCATCAGTATTAACATCATCATCACCTCCACTATGACATTCACCCTACATAATGAGTATATAAACATTTCATCACAATATTCATTGCTTCTTCATCATCATCATCATCATCATCATCCCCATCACCACCACCACCACCACCACCACCACCACCACCACCACCACCACCATCATCATCATCACCATCATCATTATCATCACCATCACTACCACCACCACCACCACCACCCCTACCACTCAACATTCCATATTCATCATCTCCAGATCAATACCTTCACAGTATCAGGGTCGATCTCTCCATTGCACGTATCAAAGTATTTCTTGAGATCCTGATCACAGTACTCAAAGACCAGGGTCAGTTTCTTCTCGCTGTGAAGGACATCATAAAGCTGGACAATATTCTTATGTTTCAGCTCCTTCAGGAGACAGATCTCCCTCAGCGCAGAGCTTGGTACTCCCTGAGAAAGTGAAAGAAAGACTGTGAGCATAAAACGTCGCCTGGCTGGCAGAAGGGCGTTCGCTCAAATTTTAGGTCAATAATGAAACTTTAAGCAGAAGGGCGTTAGCACTAAATCGCCTCAAACTTTTATAAAACTGACTTATTTCCCAAAAAAAAATTGTGGCCGTGTTGTACTACAACATTTCTATTAGTCTTTTATGTTTTGAACCAATTTTTGGGACGGAAAGCAGTTTAAATATAAAACAAATCTTTAAATGCAAATAATTCAAAAAGTAGTTTACGAGTCGCTCGCGCGCTAACGCCCTTCTGCCACGCGGCCGACGAAAAGGCAATTCAGATGCTGCTTATAAGTATCGGCTTGCCTGGTGATGTAGATATACATTAGGTTTATGGTTGCTCCATGTGAGAGAGAGGGGGAGGAATTGGGGAGTCCTGAAAAGGACTGTCGGTAATCTTTCTTTCTTGAGTGTATGTGTAGTCCTCCCCCCTCTCTCTCACATGGTGCAACCGTAAACCTACTGTATAAAAGGCAATTTGTTGTCAGAATCATCAACCCATCTGCAATTAGAGAGGCTGCACTACCAGTCGTACATGAAATGAAGTCTCCTGTTGGGTCCCAAATGCTATAAAAACAGAGTCAAATTTTACGTGCATGGTGCACACTCACGTTTTATAGTACATAGGTTAAAGGTAATGCAAAGTTTTGGGAAAACTTGAAAATTGGATGGATAGTAATTCTTTAAAATTTTGATATAGTTTGATGCCCCTGTGGATGTACTATAAGCACTAGAAAATTTAGCTCCTAAAACACTTCTGCTTTCCAGAAATTGAATAAATCAAAAAATATCTTGTACTTGTGTTGGTTTCGTAAAATGATGCCCTGGCTCTAAACAGTCAATATTTTTTAAATGTTTTTCTTCAGAATAATGCTACCATGATCCAGGTCTATCATTCTGTATAATCTGTAGTATTCATGCTTAATTATTATTTGTTTTTGTATTTTTCTTGGTATTGCTGTAAATTATACTTACCTCATCATCATCATCTAGTCGCACCCTCTTAAGTGCTACTATCTCTTGTGTTTCACGATTCTTCGCTTTAAAAACAGTTCCATATGTTCCTGTACAAAAAGTTAGAAGACAAAAAAGACAATTCATGATTTTCAAAGGATACAAGTTCAATTACAGGGTACCCAAACTACAAAGTCCAAGTGTAATAGTTCATAGATGAAAAATGAGTACCCCTAAAAAAGCTGCATTCTCTGATGTTGTTGAATTACGTGATTTAAGATTCAAATCCTTTTTTCTCCTGAATTATTCCCTTCCTTTTGTGGGAGACCCCATGGCGTCTCAACCTCATTTTTCCTTACTTTCTCCAAATTTCCTTTGAACTTTGTTTTCACATCTTTTGTTTCAGTCTAGAGTCGAAGTACTGCAAAGAATTCTTATATAACTTCTGCGACCATCTTGTGAAATAGATCTCTGTCACCTCTCATTGAGTAGGCCTACAGACATAAACCAAGCCTGTAAAAGTCTATAGAGCTAGAAAGATTTCAACAATGGCATCACATTTTCTGTAATGAAAATACGTCTATTGCTCTTTTTATATTTATATTGTGCAAACCGCAAAGTAATATAGGCCTACATGGCCTGGAGGAGTGGTGTTGATTTTATCGTTTTTCACAAGAGATATTTAGACCTTTAATGTGACTTCCTACAGTATTTATACGCTTTAACGACTGAAGACATGTTTGATATCATCGAGGAATCCAGAACAAGGGGACACAGGCTCAAAATAAGGAAGCCCCACTGCAAGTCTAAGATGAGGCAGATGTCATTTTCAGTGCGGAGCATAAATAATTGGAATAACCTTCCTGAAATTGCCATAAATGCCTCATCAATCAATAAGTTCAAGTCAGAACTCGAAAATCATTGGAAGCGCCATCCGCTGAAATACTACCCATACCAACGTGAATCCAATGCAGTAAAGAGGGGCACATAAGCTGAAGCTTCAAGCCTCAACACCAAAGTAAACGAAAGTAAGTAAGAGTCCTACCACTACCAGACTCTTTGCGGATGATTGCTTAATCAACAAGTACAACACCATAAGATCACCCAAAGATGAGGAAATACTACAAACAGACCCTAACACCCTGGTCAACTGGGCCGATAAAAAAATCAACTTAAAACCAGCGCCTTAAGTTGGTGGCCGCACATGACGACACAGTTTAAACACCTTTAGCTTTAAGGCATCGTTAGGACATGAGGAATCTTACCAAGTAACAAGCAACTTTATGAAGATCGTTTACATGCCTGGCAACTTTTGCAAGTAGGGCTACTTCATCTTGTAACTCAATTTCATTTATATAACTCAACAACCTCAATCATTTGAAATCTGGAAAAAAAAATCTGATGTGTCCGATTCAAATTTTGATTCATCATTGCATCATCACTCAACTTCAAGTTTAATATAATCTAGGTCTAGATCTAGATCTATCATCTAGGTCTATATCTATCCAATATACGTATGTAAGAACAAGATTTTCAATAAGTGGATTAATCCTGGTTGTGTCGTTCGATTCATTGTAATTCAGTTGACTAGTAGTCTATATGATTTGAATTGGCTCAAAACAAAAACAACTCAAATAAATAAACACTAAAACTACACTGTCGGTACACTGGAACCTATGAATGGGACTACATCACAAATACACCTATTAAAATACGAGTTATTTTCAGCTATCATAACGCTTACCTTCTCCAATTTTCTCAAGTCGCTCATATTTTTGCATTTCCGGATCTCTTGGCACCAGAAAACAGCATTCACCCACGGTCGTTTATAGAAAACCGTGGTTTTTGCTGTGGAAAATAGCCTCCGGATTACACTAGCGTTACAGATCTATGAGCATCGGTACGCGCGTAAATTTACCGTTGGAATCGGATCTCGCGCGCGCGGAAAGATCGTCGTCAGTTCAAGTGTTCTTTTTTATTGTTTGTGTGTATATATTATGAAAACAACAAAACAGCAATAAGAGGAATTAGAGGAGAAATAAGAAGAAGAAGAAGAAGAAGAAGAAGAAGAAGAAGAAGAAGAAGAAGAAGAAGAAGAAGAAGAAGAAGAAGAAGAAGAAGAAGAAGAAAGAAGAAGAAGAAGAAGAAGAAGAAGAAGAAGAAGAAGAAGAAGAAGAAGAAGAAGAAGAAGAAGAGAAGAAGAAGAAAAAGAAGAAGAAGAAGAAGGAGGAGAAGGAGGAGGAGAAGGAGGAGAAGAAGGAGAAGAAGGAGAAGAAGGAGAAGAAGGAGAAGAAGGAGAAGAAGAAGAAGAACAAGAAGAACAAGAAGAACAAGAAGAAGAAGAAGATGGAGAAGAAGGAGAAGAAGGAGAAGAAGGAGAAGAAGGAGAAGAAGGAGAAGAAGGAGAAGAAGAAGAAGAAGAAGAAGAAGAAGAAGAAGAAGATGGAGAAAATTTTGAATTATTATGCACGGGGTACGTCCTACTATTTGACTTATAATAGGGCCTAATAAACACTTAACAATGAACAGATACATAATTCTCAAAGGAGGGGGAGGAGGGAGAAAAATCACACACAACAACATTGTGTATTTTTTCTTCAAATCAGATGAGCGTCAAACAATGAAAAGCTAATATATTATCTTGTTCCAAAAGTCGGGCAATCCTTGTACAATCGCGTATTATAGGTTGTCAGTAGCCTTTCTTTGTTTGACTGTTCTTACAACGGACTGGTCCGCTCACATTGATGGAAACAGTATACATGAATGATACTAAACTTGAGCTCAGTCTTGCTCTTGAGCAGGCACGTAGCCACGGGGGGCACGTGCCCTCCCAAAAATTTCCAAGATCGGTTGAACTTTTTTAGACTCCTTTTTTTTACCTCGATCGATTACATTATGTGCCCCCCCCCCCAAAAAAAAAAAACCACCAAAAAAAATCAAACTCTGGCTACGTGCCTGCTTTTTAGGCATGATTAAAACAATGAATATATTTTCAAGCTTATTTATTGATCACAAGGAATAAAGCATGAGTGGAAACTTTGCTCCAGCTCTCCCCAAAATCTATAGATTTGACATTATTCCCCACCTCATAACATTAATGATATCTTTCGACACAGCCCGCCCGTGCTCCCCGCCTGTTTGGAACATTATACCTTTAGTACACGGTGAAAAATGCCCCATCTTATATTGTTGGGTAATTTTTTTTCTCTCGGAATTGTGCCTTTCCTAAAAATAAAAACAAACCTGGACCTGCCCACCCCCCCCCCCAGTCGTTGGTAATCTATATCACCGTAATCAAATGATGGTTATGTTTTCAAAACAAAACTTCCCCACTTCCAACAATTACGATATAGTTATTTCCGTATTATTACAAATCCGAAGAGCTTGCAGATAATTCAGGTGAAAATGAGAGTGGATGTTTAGATAAAAATGGTAAGATGTGCACGAGGTAAGTTTTCCTCTGGCATGTCTGGTGCGCATCAAACATTTCGTCTCTCTTTGCCTTTTTTCATATTTATTCTTTCTTTCTCCTCTTCCCCTTCACAAAGGTGTACGTCAATTTTGGTTTGACTCCCCGGATGGGGGGTCACGTGCCCCTGTGCCCCCTCCTCCCCCCCCCCCCCCCCCCGCTCCCAATACACAACTGCACGCATTATCATATTGGGCTGATATGATATTACCTGTACAGCGCAATACTAGAATTGTAAGAATTGAAAGGAGAAAGAGAGGGAACATACAAGAAAAACACAATAGACTAAACTGAATAAAAGGCAAACAAACATTGCAGGTGGCAAGGAGCACAATGCATTGATTTCGACTCTGTGATTATGATATTGTACATGTCTTGTATGAGAAGGGGGAATCCCACACTCACTTCGACCTTTAACGACGCCATAATTCATTCAGGTAACGTACATGTAATATTACCAGATATGTCGTTATATTGCATCAAACCTTCGTGAGGGTGTGTGGGCGTGAGGACTTTTATCACTACAGTTGGATGATTTTTTGATAATTCATCTCTTCTGCATCAAACTTGCTTGTTTTAATAGGGCCTACCAACGATTTCAACACGCCGATTGTGATTATTATAGTTCGTTCATCTACATTAGACACACACCAGGAGAGATTATATACGCCATGTTGGAATCCGCCATGTTCACGTTCAGCAGTCGTGTAATACTCCTTGGCCTCTGTGCTCCTTTGCCTCATACAGTAATGTGAAGCCATTTCATATTCTTTTTCATTGGTAAGTAGGACCCTGCTGGGTTTTTTTTAAAGAGTCTTTATTTCATAACACTATTATCATCAATCAAAGCAACTTTGGATGTCGTGATAATAAAAAGCGTAATTTGCCACTCACACATCATAAAGGAAACACCTAAAATTGCTCTTGAAGAATCGAAAGCTTGGCTAGGTTCAATGCTCTCAAACAACCGAACGAATTTTCACTTCAGATATTAACGGGCATTCGTTTATAATTCATTTATTAATATCTGATCATAAATCTCGGTTTTTCCACCAAGGATTCTCGGAAACGAATTTCCATCAATTTATTTAGACTTATGATATTTAGTTTCGATATTGGCTAACATGCAGGATCGGTCATATATGACTAGTCAACAAGTGCATTTTTTTAAAGAAGGCTTCGTCCTGTGAATTGCATTCTCCTGTAACATGTTATTTCATTTGAATAAATTAAACAACATTCATAATAGTGGTGTAGCAACAGGGCACAGGGGACACATACCCCTCCCCCCTTCCTACCCCCACCACAAAAGAAGAAGAAGAAATTAAGAGAACATAATTTTTAAAAATTGGGAAAGGAGATGCGAAGGCAAAAAAAATATAAAAAATAAGCCGACCCCCTCCCACACCCTCTCTATCAGTCTATATTCAAATTAAATCAAGTGAGTACGACCGGGGGACCCCTCGATGTCTGGATCCTCGCTTTACTTTACTCCATTGATATTGTTGAGTTGGAGTGGAGTTTGCCTGCATTGGCTAATGCTTTGTCAAGACCCTAACAAGCGTTATTGGTGACTTTTTAGTATGCATAAACTTTCTATACGTCTGTGAACAGTTATAATATGTTAATTAATATGAATACTAATAATAATATCAATAATAACAATGATAATAATAATAATAACAATGATAATAATAATGATGATAATAATAATGATGATAATAACAATTTTTGTAATAATAACAAAGCATATTCTTGTATAGCGCATGAAACATTTAATTTATAACTAATTATATGCGCTATTTTGATACAGCAAGATTAATCACCTTATCAAGTTCACGTATCTTTCTGACAGTTTTATTGAGCGTTTAGAATACTTTATACAGTAATACTAATAGAAAGGTGCAATGATCAGTTCTTTTTCTGTTATGTTTCTGATCACCTCTTTCCCTTTTGTCTCCATGAGAAATTGTTGACCGAAATTTCTTAGGTTTAAGTTATACTAATGTGAATATGACCACACGTATTAAAATATCAGCACAACATTCCATGTTGCCTCTTTTTTTTGCCAGTTTGTGTTTCCAATAACAGAAAAGGGAAATAAAGATGCTTGATCGCAGATGCAATAAAATAAAATGCGTGATCATTACGACGATTACAGTCAATTATAATTTTCTTACGATATCTTAATTCTTTTATTCACTTAATGAATTCACATGATATCAATACAAACAATCTTAATAGTTGATGTATGCCTATTGAATTGTCATCCATGCCAATTATATCTCTCGAAATTTCTACATATCGAGTATCAAAGTTCAAGTAGCATGCATCTTTTGATTGACAAACGTGTAACGATTCAAACGATTCAGAAATAGTCCAGTAGACAGTACCATATACCATGTACATGACCTGGAAAAGTTTGTTAAGTACAAGGGTTTTTTGTTGATTCGTGTTCTAGATGGGTTAGGAGGTAAATTCAGCTTGGTTGCCAGCATGGCAACCTTGGGCAACTTTTTTTATAAACCTAATTAGCATAATCAGGTGTAGGTGTAATGATTGATTCACACCTAACTTGGAATAGTCATATTAACAACATTTGCATGCTAGTCTCGAGAAGCATAGGCATTTTATATAAATTAAAATATTATCTATCACAAAAGTCACTATTTATGCTTTACAATTCCTTCATTTTGTCATACATATCTTATTGTAACATAGTGTGGGGGTAATAGTAGTAAGATGAAAATTATGTTAATATATCGTCTCCAAAAGAAAGCACTTCGTCTTTGTACACATTCACATTATTTAGCCCATACTGATCCAATATTTTGTAAACTAAAAACATTAAAAATCGCTGACATTCACAGTTATCAAACTGCAATCTTTATGTATAAATGTTGGATAAATACTATACCTTTGGCATTTCGAAATATTTTTGTTTACAATAGTGATATACATTCTTATCCTACACGACACTCATCCGATTTCCACTAAACCAACCCCAAAATTATTATGGCCTATAAATCGATAAGACATCATGGTCCAGACATTTGGAATGCTTTACCTGACAATATTAAACACTCTGCAACTCTTTATTCATTCAAAGCATCGATGAAAAAATATTTAATATCTACATATTCAAAAACATTATAAGGGTCTCAGAGGTTTTGATTGTTTATTTAAATTAATTTTAGATGACCAGATCAATAACAATACGAATCGAACACTTACTTCACCTGCACACACCCACTTGCACACACTTGCACATTTTTTTCATTTTTCTTTCTTTAATTTCTTTCCACTTTTTATTCAGATACTTTATGAACAAAATCTGTATACGTGACTCTCTATTCCCCTAGATACTCCTATAACAGCGCCATGTACCCCCTATCGACTCAAGCATCCTTGCTTATGATAGTTGGCCTCTGCATTTATCTTGATTATTTTGACTTACCTCCATACTTTCAAGCTTTCAATTATGCATTTTTATTTGTGTGTATTAAGTTGTCACTCTTTTTGTAAATCAATTATATTATATACTATTATTGTTATTTAAATGTTTTATATTTGATTTATCAATAAATGCAGAAACATCTGCTAAAATTAAAAATAAATCATCAAATTAGGATATGTGCAATATGTAATATGTTGCCTAAAAACATGGATAATACTACTTTTCAAGGGTTTTCTATGACAATGTATGGACTTCATTCTCATTGTTGATCTCGAAAGCCTGAAAATGGTGCAGTGTAACATTGTGAATCACTTTTATAAAGACAACACATTAATTCATGAGACATTCATAGTGCAATTAGCCTAATTAACATAATTAGTAAATTTGCATATTTGCATTTATTGATATAGGTCTAGTTTTATCCAGAAAAATCGGGAATGACAATTTCATGTGTATTTTTTTATGACAACCAATATTTATCTCAGAGGTAGATCATGTTGAATGAAAAATAATTAGCCTTGCTAGCATAATTAACCTAATTAGCATATTAATCAGGCAATTGCCTAATGGCCTTGTTGATTTCTGTCCAACAAGACAGAATACAAAGGTATTCATTTTTAATTTCCCACTGTAACAGTGATAAGAGCAGGAAGAAACAGTGATGACAGAGGCCAGTAAGTTAACATTCCATACTGGTGATGCATACTCCGCATCAGAGAAGCAAAGCAAGGGCTGTTGTCCGGAATGCTCTGGCATCAGTCCCCCAGTTGGTGTTGGCTAGCTTCTTGAGGATGCTATTGCAGGCTCCAACTTTTGCCTTTGTGTTGGCAGTGTGGTTCTTGCAGGTAAGGGAGGGATCCAGTGTGACGCCTAGGTAGACTGGGTTGTGTGCGTGCTGCAGCCTTTTCCAATACCAGCTGATCCTTAGTTGATGGTTGGCATACCTGTTCTTGAGGTGGAATGCACTTATCCAATTCTGTCAGGGTTAGCTCTCAGGTGGTTGGTCGCGTGATATGGAACGAGTCCGGCTAGGGCATCGCTGAGAGACTCCTCCAGCTTCACAAAAGACTGGTTCTGGCTGGCGATGCAGAGATCATCTCATCAGCGTAGAGGAAGCTCCTGGTGTTTGGATGGATTGTTTGGTCATTCGTGTACAAGTTTAGTGGTGCAACCGTGCAAGCACTCTTTCTTGTGGGAGGCTCTTCTTCTTTTTGTTTGTTTGTTTTTTTTTTGTTTTTTTTTTTGGGGGGGGGGGGGGGGGGGGTCTGTATGACCATCTCCTGCGATTGCCGTTAAAGAACCACAAAAACGCCAGTTGTCTTGCATCCTTTGTCAGCTCAAAGATCTTCCTGGTGAGGATTCTGTGGTTCATGGTCTCGTTGGCAGCAGAGAGGTCAACGAAAGCAGCTTTATTGATTAGCTTACCATCATAGCCATCCTCAATGAATTGAGTGAGGTTAAGGAGTTGGCCTGTTACAGTTGTATCATGTACTTCAAGCCGCAAGCGATGGCCACAAAGTCATAAGGGTTCTTAGCGATGACACTGACATATCTAATCACATATAGGGTGTAGAAGGCTCGTATATATACCTCGGCAGTTCAGATGGAGAACTGACATGGGTGTGGTTTGTTAGTTAAATGCTACATGTGAGAAGCTTTATCCAAAGATTTTCCAAATACTTGTCATGCACTTTCTGTCAGGATCTGACATTACTTCATATTTCTACAGAAAGGGCAAGCTTTCAGCCCTAAAACCTCTGTTGAATGGGGATTTTGAGGGACTCGACACTGCCTTATCGGCGAACTTGGGGGCAGTCACTCTGATCTGATAGCGACAGGGGAAGCTTTCGTCTGAGCATTAATGTATGGCCTTCCTTTAGGTACATCCCTGGCAGAGGCACTTTACCAGTTGTACACACGTAAACGTGGAAAGCCCCTCAAAGCAGGGACGTGATAGAGAAGGACTTGAATCAAGCCGTTCTCCTTTGACCCCATGCTCCAAGCCGCCGGAAAGTTATGCGCTAATCTGCAGCTGTTGACCAGGTGGTGAGATAAAAGAGCGCATGCAATTTTAGGATTTAGAATTCCTACATCAGAAAATGGTATCACAGCAACTGTTCGCTGTCCCTTCCAATGATTTCTCATCCATTGTTGAATGTGTAAAGAGTAGAACAAGCGAACACAAACTTGTGTAATTTCATTCTTTTTTAAACTTGAAAAATACAAAAAACACGCAAAAACACGCATTAGCAAACTTAATGTTATTGAAGATTGTAAATCATGGATCAAATAACGGGACATTAAAGCATGCACAAATTAGCGCATCATCCTAAAATATTGAGTTTTTGACAGGATGTAATTTTTCTTTTACCAACTCTGGCACACAATTTAAAGGCAGGACGGAGTTCTAAATTTGAAAATTTGTTTGATGCACTATTCCCAATAAAATTCCCATATAAAGTTTTTAATTTACACTGTAATTTTGCCGGTAATTTAATATTTTGTAATAAATGTAAAACTGGTGCCTGGCTTCCGAAATTCCCCGCAGTGGAAGCGCGGTTCGGAGCATGGAACTTCAAAGCCAAGTGGAATGTTACACATCCCATTGTTACGCTTTAGAACTCAAGAATGCGTTTGAATAAATTACAAGAGTTTCGCCTCCTGTTCTTTCACCTCCCTGGTCGACCCAAACCATTCTTTTTATCTTTAATAACTGACTGGTCTCTGCCATGACTGTTAATTCTGCTCTTTATCAATACCTATGTACTCTGTCTTGTTGGACAGAAATCCACAATGCCATTAGGCAATTGCCTGATTAATATGCTAATTAGGTTAATTATGCTAGCAAGGCTAATTATTTACTTATTTACCATGATTTACCTCTGAGATAAATATTGGTTGTTATACAAAATACATACAAAATTGTCATTCCCGATTTTTCTGGATAAAATTAGACCAATATCATTAAAATTAATGCAAATATGCAAATTTACTCATTGAGTTAATTAGGCTAATTGTGCTACGCCTAAATAGAATCTTCTCATGAATTAATGTGTTGTCTTTAAAAAGTGATTTACAATGTTGCATTGCACCATTTTCAGGCTTTCTAGATAAACAATTAAAATGAAGTCCATACATTGTACATATGAATTACCTCATTATGCTAATGATGCTATTTAAGACATTTGCATTACTTTAAAATAAGAACCGGTGTCATAAATGAATTCTTCGTCATAGAAAACCCTTGAAAAGTAGTATTATCCATTTTTTTAGGCTATTGCACATATCCTAATTTGATGATTATGCTAATTAGGCTAATAAAAAGTTGCCCAAGGTTGCCAAGATGGCAACCAAGCTGAATTTACCTCCTAACCCATCTAGAACACGAATCAACAAAAAAACCTTGTACTTATTAACTTTTCCGGGTCTGAAAAACTTCTACAGGACTACTAGCCAAAATGTCCCAATGTATTCGGTTTATTACATAAGAAAATTCAGACTGTTTTTCTTGATGAGGTTCCGTTTCTGTATTTCAGAATAAACAAACAACATGCCAGTACGAGTATATTCATTTTCTTATGTTGGTGATTAATATTCGCGATCAGTGGCGGGTGTGTTTTTTTTCTTCGCTTGCTTATATCTCATAATTGTATTTATATGGAAACTTCAGGGTTAATATTTTGCTTTATGAAACATTGTATAATAACGAATATGAAAATAACAGATAAAAAACCAAAGTTTGTATATTTGCTTGTGTGTTTTGCTTGGCATACAATTGTTTCATTGGGAGGCTCCATTTTGCTTACAGTCAAGTATACTTCAACTACCCACAGCCCAAATGACATTATTGTAATATTAAAATTGTATTTATTCCCTGGACTTTCACCAGGAAGATTATTCCACGAAATGGTGATGATCAGAGATTTCAAACTTAAATTAAATCCATATATTTTTCCTTGATGTATCTTCTTCTACTTAATGTTTATTTTTCTTTATTATCTTCTTCTTCTTCTCCTTCTTCCTCCTCCTCATGTTCCCCCTTCTAGACGAGCTTGACATTGTATGTTTATAATATATGAAGGAAGAATAAGAAATGGCTAGTCTAGATTCACCAGACTCCAAGGGAAGTCGACTGGACTGCAAAGTACCTGAGGACTTTGGTAAGTCTGTTTTATATCAGTCACATCTCCTGACACATCAGCAGGGTGCACTTAACTGTGTCCAATTTGTTTCTGTTTCTACGAGATTTCTACAGTAAAATTTAGACCTTATTCAGGAATTCAACGTTACTTTACTTCTACTGGGTAACCATAAGGCTTAAACAAAAAATCTATCGTATTGCCCTTTGCGACCGACCCCCATAATCCTAAAATCTACGGTCGGCTTTTTATTAAGGTTTTATTTTTTACCGCTTTTTAGAAGAAAAATGTTTAATGAATAAAAAAAATATGTATAAAAGTGACTCGGTAACATTGTTAAAGGTTGAAGAAAAAATTGCGTATTTTTTTCATGAAATGTTACATATTATATTCTTCTACTGTACTAACCCTCTAACATGCAAACAATCCTGAAAAATTCTTAAACCACAAAGATATTTATGGTTTTCTTTGAAGGTGTCACTGTGCGACACCCTCTAACATCGAATTCTTCCAACCATTTTTTAATTTTCCCAATCGTTTTTCCATGAAAATAAGACAGTTAAGACAGTGTTTTAAAACCTGTCAACACTTAAATGTCCGGAATGGTTTATAGAGCCAATACATTGTTTTGTGATGATTTACATTCTCCTAAAATGTAATTAAATTGTAATAATATACTTGGGAGAACAAAGGAATCAATCAGATCAGTTTTTCCCTATTTTTATCATTAATAATGGTATGTTTTCGCTCGAAATTTCAGATTATTTTTATTTGTATATACATCTAGCATTTTAGTCACTACCTTAGCACCATTTTCTCTCATCTGAACAAAGTTACCAAGTCCCTTTAAAGCATTCAAAACTAAAAATGTCAACCCAAAGTTGAGAAAAAGCAACCCCCCCCCCCCCCGGAAAAAATGGACCGAATCGATTTCAAGAAGTCCTTTGATTTGTTGACAGATCATGGGAATGTACTTCTTCAAAGCTCCCCACAGCTAGGCTCTCCTCGCAATGATGATGTTAAACCATCCTCTGACATGAGAAAATCTGAGAAAATCGAAGAAAACGATCTGCTGGAACTTGCCAAACAAATATCTCCGTCCCAAATACCAGATCTGGGGTTCAAACTGGGATTCAACTGGACTGCCATAGAGAGGTACATGATGCACAACAGACAGAACCTTCCTAGTCCTGAAGGTGTTATCAAGATGCTGTACGATTGGAATATAAAAAAAGAGAGAACGAGGAAGGATTTAGATGATATTCTCACATCATTGCCAAAGTCATCAAGATCCGATTATTCCACGGATACAGGTAGAGTTTAAAAATATAGACCGGTAGTAGTAAAATTGAGGTTCAAGGGTTTTGGGTGCAAAATATCCATTCAATGTTGTTTAAATATTGCCTTCAAAGGATTAGATGGCAATACTCCAATCTTAATTTTTTTTTAAAGCAGAAATATATGCCCAAATGGTAAATGTTGAAGTGCATTCGCGATATCTATCCAGGCCGGATCGATATGATAATTTACCAAATATATAAATTAGTAGGCGGTTTCCCGGTACAATTTGTATCATCACGTATTAGTCAAAACATATTCTTTCACATGATTGGTAATAAGAGCCTCCGTTTCATTTTTAAAAGGAAAAACTGGTCTATACCTTTAAGAAATTCCCAGCACGAGGGTAACTAATATCTATTCAACAAACTTTGGGCATGTTACTTAACTTGAGTAATTTATTATTCAAGTACGGTCAAAACAAAGAATGTTAAATTCAAAATAGGCAAAATACTTCCTAAGTTGGTCGGACACATTTACTATCTTCGTGGCAAAATTTTACCTAATATTTTAAAGTGTTTTTTCATGATTATTGAAACATTTTGAATATCATGTTGAGTGCTGCCATTCTATTGAATTTTGAAAGAAATTTAATTGGTCCTCAAATTGTGTAATTCATGTAATTCATTTGAAACTATTCTTCTATTTCATGATAATATATACCACGTAGGCCCATATAATGTTAGAATAATTTGTACCGAGGTTAAATTAAACGACCTTTTACTGTTATCAAAAATGCATTTTGTTTTTTTACCAATTTTTTTATTAAACGTTGACTATTTCTTAAACCCTTCACGGATTTTTTTTTTTTTTTTTTCAATTACAAGACAAATTCAAAATATTTAGGTGCTTTCCTGCATGACCACGATATAAAAATATTTAATGAATTTAGAGAATATTACTGATTATCATACAGGATCGTCATCATCTGATGATACTCTGGGTCATGCCTCCTCCCACCATCACCACCACCATCATCATCACTATCCCACTGGCTCACACTTCACTATGTCACCATTGTTAGACGCTCTGCCTTCAGAAAGAGGTAAAGGGATAACAAATATTGCCTTGTTATTAAAGGTATAAGACTTGATATTGATTGAGAAAAATATGAAGAAAAAAAAGTGAAGCAATATTCATAATAGCATCGTTAGGCGATTGAATTGTAATTGTGATTAGATTTTTATGAACAATGATGAAGCACTACATTCAGAATATTATTGTATGAGATGAATCCGAAAACCACACTGTGTAACAAATCTTCTCTTTGATGAAAGTTCTGAAGAAAAAGAAAAAAATCCAAATGGTCATTACTGCGTTTTTATATTCTGCGTTTTTATATTCTGTAGGACTTTCCTTGTTTCAACACTGTGATATAAATGAATGCAATAGAAATATGCATGTATTTCTTGTTCATGCGTGTCTTAAAGGTAGTGGGTAACTGTGCCTTGGATCCCAAGCAAAATCATTAATTCAGTTCATGCTGCAATCATAATTATAAACGTTTAAGTCGGTCAGGAATCCCATGACTTTTACAAGCCAATCACTTGTTTAATTATCAAGATATCTGTGATTGGAAATCGAAATTTGAAAACGGTTTCTTTGATTTTTGTTTTCACTTAGGGCCGACCATCCCGCAGGTATCGCCATCTTCTCAACCAAGCAAAGACGTACTGACCGTTGAAGAAGAGCAGGAGTGTAGAGAAGATCTGATGCAACACTACCATGAAGACATCGGCGAATTGAAGACAGATCCATTAGATCCTCAGTCACAGGTTCCTTTTGATTCCATCTACACCAACCTTTGCCTGCTCAAAGAAGAAGAAGAGGATTATAACAGAAGAAGGAATGCTCGAGGTAAGGTGATAGGTCTCCGACGAAGTCCTAAAACGCATTACGGTAAGATGTTCAAGAAACCTCTGCCTGATGAAGAATTTCGAGGACTGATCACTCCTGGACAACCTCCCTACAGAATACTGGTAATTGGAGAAGCGGGTGTTGGGAAGACAACGTTCCTTGCGAAACTAGCGCATGACTGGAGAGAAGGGAAAGACTTGAAGAATATCCAACTTCTGTTCCGAATTCCACTTACAGAGGCTGCGAGAGAACAGACCTTCGGGGAAGTCGTTCAAGACAACCTCTCAGATGAAATCGAGTATGGATCTCGCATAGGGGAACATGTCAAAAGAAATCAGAGTAGAGCACTGCTTCTCCTTGATGGTCTTGATGAACTCGGAGTTGACATCAGGGAGAGGGACTCACAAAATGAATTCGTTCAAATCATGAGGGGTGAAAAGTACAAGAGAACTGTGGTTGTCATAACAACACGACCATGGCGAGCAGACCAGATCCTCGGCGACGAAAAGCTACGGAAACTGTTCACTTATGTAACCATTGAAGGGTTCGATCAGGACAAAACAATAGACTACGTGAGAAAGTTTTTCATCGATGAAGAAGAATCTGCGGACAGCTTGGTGGAGTTCCTCGAGGATGACAGAAGTGACGAGGGTGTCTTCTCGACCTTCATGGCATCATTCCCGATCTACCTAGCAATGTTGTGTCACATGTGGAGATACAAGGAGAGGCGGGACAACGTCATGAAGCTGCAGACTGTCTCCCAACTTCTTGATCTGATGGCCCAGACTCTCAAGGACCATTACGCTTCAAAGGATGGGGACACGTCGGAAGAGAGGTACCAGGAATGCAGACAGGAGGTTGCCAGATGCTTCAAAGATGTTGGAGGTATAGCCTACCAGGGTGTCTTGAAGAAACAGCTTGTCTTCAAGGAAGAGGTATTGTCTGACTGCGGAGCGTCCGTCTCAACTGCGTGTGAAATGGGAATACTGACAAGGGAGAAGCGAGTTGCACCTGTTCACCTCCGAATGCAGGATGGAAAGCGCTACCAAGTGGAGTGTCGGTTCCCCCATATGATGTTCCAAGATTACCTGGCAGCCCTTCACCTGGCGTCCCTCCACCATGATGACCCTGACGAGTTTGAAAGGAGGCTTCGACACGAGCTTCTTGGAGATGAAGAGGAGCACCCAGATCGGTTCGAGTATCTCTGGTACTTCACTGTGTCACGGGGACGAGAGGTCGGTGCGACCACGCTTAGAGTCCTGAGCGAGACGGTTGACGACACGGACTTCATCTTCCGTGTGGCCTTCGAGTGCCAGGACAAAGAGATCACTTCTCCGATCACGAGAGCTGCCGTAAAAAACAACTCACTTCGTGTCCCGAAGGAGCGATCCTTTGCTGCTCATATCCATTCACTTGACACCGTGGAAACCCTGGTACGTGCATTTCTTTGAGTTTAATTAAAACCCCACTGCACTACTTATAGCTACTGACGCCCTCTATATAGCAAACAATGCCTAATCGGTGACCATTAGTCCCCATGGTCCCCTTTTTCTTATGTTAATCGAGAGCTGATTCGATGAGAAGGCGGAGGGGCCCAAAAAGGTGGTTCGTTCTGTGCGATGACAGAGTTCTAAGACATCATAAAATCAGGGAAATGGGAGAGATGCCTGTTATGTTGATAGTCCCTCTTTTATCAAGAACAGTTTCCCATTTCGAAGGGAGAAAGCACCTGAAATCATATATAGAGGACAACATTGAAGCTCATATTTATTGGGAAAGAATGAAAGTTAGATGTAGAATGGTGAAGAGATGAGAGTGAATGTCCTTTCAATACCATGGATGTGGGAGAGGCAAACTTTAAATGAAGGGCTGGCATTTTCTCGTTGCAGAAGTCTCGTCGCAGGAGAGGCATTTTGTTGTTGTGTGTCTATGTATTGCAAATGCTCGCTGCTAAACCTCATGCTTTTGCCATTAAAACTAGTGATAACTGTTGTTGCAATTGATAAAGCCATTTTCTTCCATCTCTTTTCCGTACAGGACATCTTCACCCTAAATGCGTTGCCAAAAGGAAGAGCAATTCTGAGGAAGGGGGCAGAACGAATAATGTCGTCACCGAAGATTCGTAGTCTGGCCTTGTGTGATTGTGGTTCGGGAAGTGATGAGTTTATCTCGACCATGGCGAACAGATCGACAACTACAGAGGCAAGAAATATTTAAATATCGTTTTTTTGTAGTAATAAAAAAGAATATTCTACGCGAAAAATGGAGAGTTTATCAATTGTCCGAAGTGATGCGTTCATTTAACGCTGTTTCATTCTCACTTATCGAAAACAAATTATGCCAATTTCTCTGTTCCTCATTTAATCGACTAAATTTGAAGTAGCAAATTCTATTTAAGCTCCAATTTATAATTTATAACTTCAAATCATCCCTGGCCAATGAGCGATTAATTCTTGTATGTTTCTCCCATGTTACTGGGGGTAAATAATACTTTGCAAGTTGTAGTATATATCACAGGTTCATTGGGTAATGATTTTGTTCATTTTTATTTGGACCCGTCTGTAGAACAGCTCTGTTTTAATGGCACAAAATTGATGAGAATGGCTATCCATCCATATTGTTTCTTATGATTCAATCATGTTATTGTGACAGGTTGAAATGTTTCTTAATATTTTTTGCTGAGACAGCAACTATTTAACATGGGAGAATGTGACAGGTCGAAATGTTTCTTAATTCTATTTGTTGAGGAGGTCCCTGAATGAAGGGATCCATGTCTCTGAATAAGGAGATCCCTTTAAGTGTACTTCTGAGGTGGTCCCAAAAAGGGGAAGTTTACTTTGACCTTAAGTCAGAGAGGGTATGGGGTGACTTGGAGAGAAGAATAGATTTTTTGCCACATCACAGGGGAAGTGCACTTTGACCTTGGGTCAGAGAGGGTATAGGGTACTATACAGAGAAAGGATTTCTTGCCACATCACAGGTTGAGAGGGATGAGCATAGACCATGCATCCACTCATGAATTAGGAGGTTTGAGTTGACAGAGAAGCTAACTCTGAGTAGAACTGTATTTCTGCAGCATATATGAGTTCTTACTTCATCATTTGGTTGGAGATGGCATTTAGTTGGAGATGGTGCACTAGCTAGTTGGTCTTAATAGTCTCGGTGTCTTCGTAGGAGTCTCTCCTCGAGAGCTCAAGAGGAGGTTGATCCATCCTCAAAATAAATACCACATAAAATTCTAAATGACTTCGTCGTGTGTCATTTGTGCCTGCTGTTACATTATTATTTCCTTTTTTACATCTGAAAATGAATTCCAATCAAATCCAATCAAATCCAGTCAAGTAATAAGCTTTTAATATCAGGAGCAAATTTAACCTTCTACTTTCAGCTGAACCGCTTCTTATTCATCAATTGAGTATAATAACAGATGTTTTCCATCTTATCCCCATCGCGCAGATCGAGAAGGTCTTCCATCTGGACGATGACATCAGCCAAACTGCGTCCGAACACCTTGCGAAAGCCCTCTTCTCGATGCCGAAACTAAAGGAGCTATGCATGACTGGAGTGAAGCTGGGAGAAGAATTCTACACCACGATGGCCGAGCAGTCTTCTCATTCGAAGGTAAGGAGATTGTATCTGATCATCTAAAATATTGTCTACAGAAAACTCCCGTACTTGTGAAATAATGCATTGTTGACCTAAATTATTTTTTGTTTTTGTTCTTCTTCTTCTTCTTTTTGTTGTTGTTCTTCTTCTTCTTCTTCTTCTTTAATATCTCACAACCACCATGATATGAAATGTACATGTACATATAAAATGCATCGTATTGCACGACCACCCATCATTGTCGGATACCACATCTGCACAACAAGCTATCGGTGTTCTTTACCAAGTTTACCAAGAAGTTGGGGAAAAGCTTTTTTCATTATTATTTAATTTTCTGATAATGGTTCAACAAGACAATGTACCAATGTACCTTGGGTTGAAATATTAAAGGGGGTATAGCATGACTCGGGGCCAATCGGGTATAATACGACTACGGACGACGCTATCGCAGTATTCACGTGCGTGCAACATACGACAAACCGAAGCGTGAGGAGAACTTTGGTCTATTTCACGAACGCTAGCGCGTGCTGACCGTCATTAATCAAGTCCATTCGTTTACGTGCAGTTGTCCAAAAGAAGTCGTAGATGGCGTTAACCAGTATTTGCCATGCTACACTCCCTTCAATCTCTACTTACTTTTGATACAGATCGGAAAGCTGTGTATATTTCCAGGAGAAGAGATCAAGCTGAGTGAAAGCTTAACAATCAACTTCTCATTGGGTTTCTCATCGATGTCAGGGTTACATACATTGCTCCTGCAGCCTAGTTCCCTTGATGAGACATTCTACTCAACCTTTGCTCAAACTGCACCATCTTCCAAGGTTAGGTTACCTTATTTCTGTTTCATGTTTTTTTTTAAAATCCAGAACATAATAGAATAATCAAGTCCTCATAATTGTCGCCGAGGGCAATATCATAAAGGATTTGTTAATGTTTGGCCGCAAATAACAAGGAAATGATCAGAAAGGCATAATTTTTTCAAATTCTTCTGAACCGGTATATCTGATGTATATCAACGTCAATGTTTACATTACCTTACGAACAAAGGAGGAGAACAACTTGGTAGAAGAAGAATGAAGAAAGGGGAAGCTTTCTTAAATTTTGTACAAATACCCAGAGAAAAAATATAGCATTTGTATGGACGCCCTAATGTTGTTGAGCATATGATGAAATCAGTCGCCCTCTTGGCTCAACATCGCATAAGGTAAAGTTATTGCTTCTTGTTGTACATGTCGCCAGTTGCAGATTTTGGGTGTACCAGCTTGGAATCTCCCCCCCCCCCCCCAATCCCTTTTTAAACCCAGTAGGCACTCCTAAATTACACAACAAAAAACCTCGCTTTTTATGGAATTATTTTTCGTTATATCAACGGGTCTGAGAACTGCATTCATGGTGATAGAGGCTTAGCCATCAATATCTTTCTCGTTGTTTTTTTTCTCGTTTATTAATGTTTTTAGATTGAGAAGCTATGGGTACAGGATATGGGAGATATAAGTCCTCTCGCGTCACAGTGCCTAGCTAAGGTTGTCTCCTCTCTACCCTGCCTTCAAACTCTCAGACTGGATAGTAACCATAGCAACCTAGGAGAGGAGTACAGCTTTGCATTGACCATCTCATCCCTCCTTGGAAAGGTAATTGAATAAATTCGTCATTTTTGTACAATCTGGATCCGACTGAATTGAATATTCGATGTTACCGCAAGTTAAAAGAACGAAAACAAGAGATGAAAATAAATTCATCAAGAGATTGAAATTCTGATAATACTTACCAGTTATGGGTTATACAATCGTCCTTCCACCACCAATATTAAATTGCTTTACCAATTAATTACTTAACGTTTACAAATCGAATGATTACATGCCACATACTGGTGTATTGGATCTTACCGTTTAAACTGTTGCAAGTAACGTTTACTTTGTGATCATTTTCTGCTTTCATTTTTAAGATTATTGTGTTTTGTTGTTTTTATTTAATAGGTGAGGATCAGTACCTTCATATTGTTTGAGATCAAGGTCACACTACAAGCAATACGGACTATCCTCTCCCTTGAAACCATGCGTGAGCTCAGGATGATGGGAGTCATAGTCGGCAGCAATGACGACGACGATGACGACGACGATAACGATGACCACGATGATGATAATGGCGATGATGATAATAACGACGACGGTGAAAGTATCGATGTTGATGTCGATGATGACGATAAAGATGACGATGGAGACGGTGGTGGTGACGAGGGCATGAGTGACGCTGGTGTCACTCAAGGCGAAGAATGTTGCTCTACTATGACGGCCTTGGATTTGGTGAGTTGTCTCTGGATGCATTTTGTTAGATTTTGAGTTAACACCACAGACATAGAATATTCTATTTATCTATTTAATATTCATTTTTCGATTCTTATTTTATCAGGGTTGCATCTTCAGTTAAAAAACTGATATTCTAAGGGCCCTCAACATAATTATTATAATTCTACTCCCCCCCCCCCCCTCCTCTGCCCCGGTGTAGGCACTGCACTTTTTGTAAAGAGTATATTATGGTAGAAAACCAGAAGTGGTAGTCAGATTATTGCACATCAAAAATCAGATATAAAGGGAAAATATATATTATAACCTACCCTACTTCTAACTTCTAACTAGTTTTAACTATACCCCAACTTCTTGTTGTACTGAGCGAGGCGGGAAGCTGGCGCCGGCATTTCCCTCGAAGATGTCGTTGTCGACAAGTTTTTGGGCGGGGTGACGATCGCTCAAGGTGGTTCTGCCCAACTTAGTGCTCAACCTTCCTCTTAATCATCATGACCATGCCCAAGTAACTGCTAATATGTATATAATTCACTTCTGTTTACTATATAGGAAGGATCTCTAACAAGCAAGTTGGAGGTTCTAGCCTTAGATGACGAGTCTATACCCTCTGTGCTAGCGAGTGGTATCCATACCATGTGTCCTCATGTTCAAAGACTTCATCTAGAGTTCACCCATGAGGAAATCACTCAAGAGCATGTCGAGATCATCAAGGAGTTCCCCAAGACAAAACACCTTTCGCTCAAGGCGTACATGTAGGCCTACGTCCATTTAATATGTTTATTTTTATTGTGATTGTATGCGCTTGTTTGGTTGTTTGTTAGGTTGTAATGTCAAGTACTCCCTTCACCCTAAACAGCGCTATATATAATAACAGTTTAATAGCTGAACTCCCACAAAGGACAGTACTAGTAATAACAAATTTAAATAAAAAAATTAACATGGATGTTTATACAAGTGACATAACTGTTGTACATTATTTCAAAAATCTTAACATTTCGTGCTATTCTCAAACACCCCCCCCCCCCTCCCCTTTTGACACCGCTGGGTCTGCCTTTCTACACAAGGGCTAGCGCACTGAGATTTGAACCCATGTTACTATTCCAATTGGATCATCGATATCGCTCTGACCACTGAGCCATTGCACATGTTTGTGAAGGTTTATTAATACTTTATTAGCATCCCTAATCTGATTCATATGATGATGTTTTTTTTTTTATTAGAGATCCACTCCTGCCCGCTGAGCCGCCTATGCAAGTATCTTTGGATCATCCTCTCTGGCTGTGTAGAGCGCTGGAAGATTCCACCAACCTGCGCAGACTATCAATTAGCGATATCACTATAGGAGATGAGAATGCGGGATCGATACTCCGCAGTGCGAGGCGTCATGGTCAACTCGAACATCTGACGTAAGTTCATGGTCACGATTTAGTATTTTGAATGGGGGGCTCAGAGTTATGTCAAACTCAGCGAAAATCTCAACCCCAATGTCCGCAAATCAAGAAAATTCAACAGCGAGAATGACACAGACAAGGATTTCATAATTGAAAAAAATATTTTTGTGCGAGCCTGAAGACTTGTCATGTCTCATGACTAATATAAATGAAGGGCCCCGTAATTTTTTTCTGTCATTTTGAATGAAGCGGTTGCCCAACCCCCTGTTCAAAGGTACAACTATGTTTGAATATGTTTCAATATGCACAAACTATATAGTTTTATTCTCTATTTATTGGAGAATTGAATGCGAGCAGTATCATCGAAGCCCAAATAACAGTCGGTGGAAGAAAAAGATCGAATCGAGTTCTCCCCTAAAAGTTTGTGTTTGATTGTTTGTGGGTTTGTTTTGTGTTTTTTTTTAAATCAAAATCAGCTAGACCCATTCATTTTTAAAGTAAAACAGTACTCTTTCTTTCAAATATCAAACCATAATATGACCTGTCGAAGGAAACAACTCTGATTCATATAATTTTGTTGTTGTTTTCGTTTTTAACATTTGTCATACATAGAATGGTTCGCTGTGCAACATCTACAACTCTCGATGCAGTCGCGAGTGAGATTTCATCACAAACCGGCGTAGAGATCACTCTGACACATGGCAAGGTATACATGTACAACGGTTTTAGAGGGAGCTCTAAAAAAATCCAACATTAATAACAAATTGATTTAAGAGCGGCATATGTAGAAAGAGATTGCAAGAGTCCCAAGCCCCCTAAAGACACCCGCCCCCCAAAAAATGAAACTTAGGGTGTCCCGACAATTGTTGATCTAAATATAATGATGCAGCACATCTCTAATCACGAAGAGTAACCTCTTTTATTTCTTCGAAAAATCATGCAAAAGCAATTTCAGTAGCCTTTTCCATAACCTATCGAATGAGCAAACATTACAATGATATATTATGGAATCTGTACATTTTTTACGAGATAAACAATAGGACATTGAAACTGTCTTTAAATTGATTTTTGAAAGTCTTTGTGATCATATTTGCATTAAATATTTTTGATTTTTTTTTTTTCCTTATTTCGTATAGCCTCCGAGCTGGGACGATGATGTCACGGTGGAACTTGAAGAAGATATCTTGTGGGCCACCAATGTATTTGAAAGTGCATTCACAGTGATCAGCAAAAATGACGTCTTAACAGAGAATGGTTGGGCTAGAGAGGGTACGACCCCGCCCCTCTGTCCATTGAATCATGGAGGGAGGGGAGGAGGGGGGGAGAATGTGAAAAGAAGAGAGAGAGAGAGAGTGAGAGGGAAGGAGGGGGAGAGAGAGAGAGAGAGAGAGAGGGAAGGAGGGGGAGAGAGAGAGAGAGAGAGAGAGAGGGAAGGAGGGGGAGAGAGATAGAGAGAGAGAGTGAGAGGGAAGGAGGGGGGAGAGAGAGAGAGAGAGTGAGAGGGAAGGAGGGGGGAGAGAGAGAGAGAGAGTGAGAGGGAAGGAGGGGGAGAGAGAGAGAGAGTGAGAGGGAAGGAGGGGGAGAGAGAGAGAGAGAGAGAGAGAGTGAGAGGGAAGGAGGGGGAGAGAGAGAGTGAGAGGGAAGGAGGGGAGAGAGAGAGAGAGAGAGAGGGTGAGAGGGAAGGAGGGGAGAGAGAGAGAGAGAGAGAGAGAGATGGGTGAGAGAGAGAGCAGAGAGGGAGATAGAGAGGAAAGAAAGAGGGAGAGGGGAGAGGAAGGAGAGGAAAAGTGAAGGAGAATTAGAGAGAGAGAGGGGTGGAGAGTGAAAGAAAGAGAGAGTATGTGGCGGGGGCGTAATAAGAAGATCATTGCATCCTGTCCACACCTTTGACTTTTAAAATAATAATTGTGTGTTTACAGAAGAGTAGTTTAAACTTATTCTGCTTTCTCTACTCATGTGAGTAATGTATCTGTTTTCACTCTAATTACAATAATCCAATACAAAACATTTGATGAACAAGTAGGGACGGACCAGAGGCTGTGAGTAGTGAAGTTATTGTAATCTATTTGGCAGTACTGTGATATTTTAAGAACTTTAATTTTCGGATAAAGCCCCTCGTAAGCAGTCTATCTCTCGATTCTGAAGTTGATGCAGAAAAGGAGGAACCCTGAACAGCGCCATCTCCGTAGTATTTTGAGTGATAGAAATTGATGTGGCTGGAGGTGTCATTATAAATGCCCTCTTTCTTATGACAATATAGTTGCAAGGCACATATTAACTTTTAGGGTAAGGCGCTTATGGTTGCGGTCTCCTGTAATTTTTCCACAGATAGTTCGGATAATACTTTAAATTTATAATATTTTATAGAAATATTAAATTCGTTATTATATATGTATGTTTATATGTAAATAACATTTTGACATGAAATTAGTATTGTTTTTTTTATACATTACGTTTACATGTTCTTTGTTACTCAGTTATTGTAATTGGAAAGATGTAGGTATCAAATGAAATCAATCAATAGTATTATTTAAAAAAATCTCTCTCTCTCTCTCTCTTTCTATTTACACGTGTACCTTTCTCTTTTCATGCCCCCGCCCCCCCCCCCCCCACTTCCCCTCTCTCTCCCTTCTCTATCATGTGACCATTCATTCTAGTTATCTTCTTTCTTTCTCCGGCAAACCCCCCCCCCCCCCCCCTCCCCCCCTCTCTCTCTTTTCTCTTTCTCTCTCTCTCTCTCTCTCTCTCTCTCTCTCTGCACAATGGCTACATTCAAAATAAAGTTAAAAATTCCAACTTACTGTTAGAATTCGACTTGTTTCACTATCAAATAATTGAAAATAGGTCTATGACATTCATGCACAGTCGATTACTAAACTTTGAATCGTTTACTTCGACTCTCTTATAACATTGACAATCACCTTGATAGATGCTGAAAAAATTAACATATTTTGTAAAAAAAAAATTGTTTTGTTTTGTTGTATTTTTATAATAAAGACAAAAAATGGCAAAGATATATATCATATGTAAAACGTTCTTTTATTGTACACCGCTTGCATTACAGAAACAGAAAATGTCAAGAATATTGAGAACAATGCACATTATACACATAATACATTAAATATTATTTACATCAAACATTTAATACACAGCCATGTACATTCATAATCATAATTACCGTTAATGCTTTCAAAGGTATATTCGTGTTGCATCATCGTGATATGATAATGGGGTTCTTGGAGAATGGACCAAGAGGTAGACCAAGAACTAACTGGGAGAAGAACACTAAGACTTGGGAGTGGAATGGCGCTTGAATGGCAGATAACAAAGATATGTGGAAACATGGTGCAATCAACCCACTATAAGCTGGGGGAAGATACCTTAGTAGATAGATACAATGATGTAGTGCTTCGTGAAAGCGTAAAACTTGTTTTTATAATCAGTTCAAATGTCACAATTTCAAATGAATTACTCGATTATGATTAACTACGCAAAATCGTCTGACACATATTATGATTCATTTACAGTCTTGAAAATGGAGTGGAAAGATTGACTTGATCAGGTGAGGATGTATTTCCCAAGTTTATCTTTAGCGACTCTTAATCTGAGAATAATAAGCTATTGCCCATCCCATACTGACATGCATACATACAACAGATGGTCGACTATAGAAACAGAGAGTTAACTTTCTTTGATTTGTTTGTCCCGATTCGGAAGCGCTAGACTATAGAGAGAAAATATCATATTTTAATAGGGGTCTCACTTTACAAAACCATAATCAATCATTTTTGCTTCTCCATTTCAGACATCATCGAAAGTCTCCCACATCTAAAGAAAAACATATCACATCCTCCAACATGGTCTCACGAAAATATTTGACAGATTTATTGTCCTTTGATCTACATGTACAGTACAACAAATTTCTTCCAACATGTAGGTGAGACAACGCACTATGGACATTTATTTTGTTAAATCTATTGTCAATCCGGGTGTCTCCTCTGTAACGTTTACTTTACAAGTTGCAAATGCAAGAGACCTCAAGTCTAATTTTATTTAATTACTCTCATGACCCAATAAAAAGCTTAGCTTCATCAGATTTTGTCAATTGTCGTATAGTGACCAGTTGGGTTTCTAATCGTGATATTTGATGAGGGCTCTACGATAAAAAGTATTCTTAATTTTCTTTTCATTCATTTGAATCCACTCAATTGTTTCTCTAATGTTTTAGCTTCCATCCACGCATACAGGAAATATTTCTCTCCTTTTTCTTTAACCATTTTTGTAGAAAATCCTATTGCATTTTTTTTAAATCAGAAAACGTATTATATACATGCAGTTGATAGAGAGATCGGTGACAGCGCCTTGTGTTCTCTGGCAAAGGCGCTACATTAATCCAATTATTATAACTATCTTTATCATCATATTTATCATGACTACTATTACAATTATTAGACGAATGTGGTCATGGTCAGACAAAATATGGTTATAAATATGACGAACTGTTGACAAATTAGACTACATTAATTGATCGTACCACATGTAAATGAAAACTTGAACAATGTAGAAAAATAGCTTTGGTTTGGTCCGGTAACCTGTTGACAAATGACGCCACGCTAAGAATATGAAAACGATTAGAAAATTTTAGAAAAAATTGTAAAAAATGCAAAGGCAAGAACAGAGGAAGATTCCATTGCTTCTTATTATTATCAAGGCAGCAAAAGACACTTTAACTTACTTTATTTTCAGCCTTAAACTCAACTTATAAACATTAACCCACAATAAATAGAATAAGTACATTCATAAAATGCTGATAAAGAGATGTTACTGTTATTTATACAAAGAGTTAGAGTTCTACAAAGAAATTAACAAGTGGAAGCTCGTTGCTCTTTTTTTCGGGGGAGATATTATTGCTGAGTAAAAACATATTAAATGCGTTCATACACGTGACGATGCAAACATTCATGAGTGAGTTGCAAATGCAAACTTTTAATTTGCTGAGCAATTCCACTTCCAAATGCGAAAAAGTATTTAAAAAATGATTGTTAAAACGTTAAACTTAATAACATTTTGCCATATTCAAGGCCGCAAGCATTTATACAATCTTTTATTATACCAAAGATGATTAAATGAAACGACCGAAATTCCCACTGAATTGAATTTTGTCATCATTATCGTAAAACTAAATAAATCGGAGAACGATCCTTAAAAAATCAGGCCAGAATCGATGCAATAGCAGTTCAATAATTGTGTGATATCACTGATTTCACTAACCAATGTTTTTTTGTGAACTGACGAAAATTATGTACATCAAACTGTATTTTCCTGAACCATAGCATTCTATGTTATACTCTTGTTTAGATTCATCCATCGATTTCGATTTTTCAGTTCCCTTGAACATGCTGAAACATGGTAACAAATCATTGAATTACTACAGTTCATGTGAGTCCATTTTGCTCCATTCTCATTCTGTTACCATGCTCAAACTCTCGATTACTTCACATCGGCATTCGGTGTTTCAGTGTACTGCCAGTAGTTTTCGAATTGTTGTCCGGTCAGTCATAACGAACGAACCGCTCTCTCTAACGCTGAACAAAGGATTAATTTGCTAAAAGACTTATATTATTTTTGTCTCGTTTCAAGAAATTGATTCTTGTTGCGATTATCGTATAATCGTCACTTTCATACATATTGTTCTTTTTGTAACGATTTTGTTTCCTTTCTTTGTCACATCTCATACGTCGTAGAGCGGCATCCCGTACAATTATTCTTCGTCTTTTTTGACACCCTTTTGATGACGTCAGCTGCTTCAGGGATATCACTGCATTTGCATGTGAGAATACACCTGAAGACCTTCTTGAAATACGGATGTTTGGTGGCATAGATGATGGGATTTATGCACGAGTTACAGAAGACGATGGCGGCGGCGTAAGGGACGAACGGGTCGCTATCGTCGTAGAGAAGGCACACGCTGTACGGAGTGAGACAGATGAGAAACGCGCAGACGACATAGAAAAGGTTTTTGGTGATTTCAACCTGTCGACGTAGCTGGCGTCCTCTGAGTGAGCTATGTGAGGAGGTGATGGAAGCATTATGGTTGCTGATTCGCTGGGGGTTGTTGTTGCTTGTTCCGTTCTGCTTCGAGGGAGGGGCCTTGCAAGAAATCCTGGAGCAGATAAAAACAAAGAAAAATGTATACAAAGTTAATGAATTAACCATCAATTATAATCATGTAAGACATTACTTTTTCGCTATTAAAAATTCGGCATTCGAAATCTGAATTCATTATCATATTTTCTCTAAAAATCTAGGATGCTGTAAACGAGAATGATCTAGAAATGTCCCTTCAATTAATTATATATTTTCGAAGCCTATTGGGTCTTAATCAGTATATGTTTATTATGAAAATGTTGTCTTTCGGTGGGCCGATATTTAGATATAATTTCTGAGGGACCCTCTAGAGCAATTAATATTTGTAGAGGAGGCGCGATAGCTCAGTTGGCAGAGCAGTGGTCTCGTAATCCGGCGACCCGGGTTCGAACTTCAAAACCAAGTTGATGCGCCAGTGCTCTTTGGTAAGGCAATAATCCTCATTGCCAGGTCCCTCGGAAAGCCGTCGGTTGCTTACTAACAAGAATTTATACTTTCTTAGCAGTCAGGTAAAATAACCACCACTATACCTGTTAGTCTTTTTCTTCCCATTAACCTCTTTATAAATTAGCCACTTTCTTCATATTATGTGTTCTTTTCATCACTGATAGCCATCTCTGCTCTTTCGTCTTTCAATCTATACGATCTTACAAATAATTGTGGACTCTTTCGTTTCGAAATGAAAACACACTTGTCACGACAACTGTTTGTTAAGCAAGATAATCTATTTATAAAACCATACAGGAATCAATAAATTATCACTTTCAGGATTTTTCTAAAACATCCACCATCCTTGATCGAGTTTCTCAATGTGATACGTCCGTCCAGAGACATCGGCTATCATCGGCTAATTTCGGCAGTTTCCCGTCCGCGTGACCTCTGACATATAAATAACTCCTTTACCGGAAGCAATTGTTGGTATTTGACAACGGGATTAGACGAGATGGCCATACTGAAGTCATACAGTGAAATAGATTTGTCATTGTGGATTATGGGAGACCTTGAACTTGGTGATAAGTTGTGTCAACGAGGGCCAAAAGCCGACTTCCGGAATCTCACAATCTGGATTTGGTTAATGCGCTGAATAATGGCTGATTAATGGTGTTTCGACAACCTTGGATTGTAAAGCAGTAATTAGACAATATTAGATGGTTAGTTAACTGCCTATCTGCCTGTTGGGAATGTTTGATATCAGTTGACAGTGTAATTAACCCATTACATCCGATTGTGTGTATGCTCAACAAAATCCATTTTCCGTTACAGATAATCTAACACCATTATTGGTGCCAAATTGCCATTCAACGTAGTGCTTCAGAATAAGAGGACACTGCCAACCTAGAGCTAATGCATGCATGTCTATCTATATACTTATGCATGCCTAGACTATATAAAACTTGATTAAAGATAAACTCCAGTTCTGGTTTTAAAAAAAAAAAAAAAAAAAAAAAAATTCTCACAGAACCAAACGAAACTTACACTGAATGTTCAAGATTGCAAATAAATGACATTTGCCAAACAATTTTGGAAGAAAATGTATACTGACTGAGTAATGAGCATAGAAAGACAAGGAAATCAAGGTAGTACTAACCCCGACACCGTGAGTGTTTTCCCATATACAGCTTTCTGTGTACAGTGCTTGTTACTTTACCAAGACTCGGCCAAATTTATTATGATTTTGATGACTCCAGAACCTTGCAGTGCACACCAATACTTACATGCTACATGATCAACTGTTTCTGATCCATTCCACACTGTTTCTTTCACAATGCAATCGCATTACCAGAACTCAACTTCATCTTTAAGCGTTATTACCCATTTACTGAAGATTAATCCCCACACGGTCACATAAAATGGAATTGATGGCAGAGAGCCCCTTCATCCATTTTCATATCCCCCATGTACCGGTGGGTAAAATGTTGAGACTAACAAAAAATGTGCATAGAGAAAAATATTTAAAGCATCTTTTCTCTGAAATTCTAGTTTCTTTGGAGAGAACTAAAATACATGCCAAAAATTAACAAGAATTGTCACTCTGTCTTCATTACATTTCACTGAATTATTGGTACACCTAAGCACTAAACATAAAACGAAAGCTCCACGTCACAGAAGAATATGCGGATATCGGAGGAGAATGATCCTAACCACTTCCCCGTGCTTTAACATGATATGGAACTTCAATTAACCTAAATTAAACAACTCTATCTGCACCTGTCTCCTCGGATATTAATCAAACCTTAATCTCCACATACAATAAAAGCATGATTACATTGCCAAATGTTGAGCAACATAAGGCGCTAACGATGAATTTGAGAGCGTAACCACTTTTCGCACAGCAGTACGCTCGCGGCAGAGATTGCAAGAGCTATACAAAAAGGGGACGGGGTACTTGAATCTTTAATATAGTTTACAACTTTACACAAAGTTTGACCAACTCGGCTACAATGGTCTGTGCTTGTCAGATAAAGCAACGCACGTTACCGTTTCAACACCATAATCTTGGCCTACAGATTAATGAAATCCATGACAAAAACAGTCCGCAGTTCTGTTTCACAATACTCGGATTTAACTCCTTTTGGAAGTCGGCCGTTGTTTTCTGATGTGTAATTAATCATCATGTTAAAGAAACATTGCAGCTGAATTGTGACAGCACGGCTAGGGATACAATATGTGAGTGTTATAATAGATAGCTAGATCAGTCCCGATCACTTCCTAATATGGTATGATAATAGGAAGTCAGCCTCATCATGCGCATCAATCAATACAATCATGATCATTAGGGTTGAGAGGATGGGTGTCGAAATGATAGAGCTTACTCTTTTCCTTTTCATCACAAATTACATGATTTATGAAAGTCTGTCGTAATCACAGTATCCGATCTAATAATAATGTGCTAGGATTCTGAGAATAATTCGTTTACATAGGTCCTAACCATGCTCATCTTATCTCTTATATCAAAGTACAGGCCTCTGAACCTGATTAACTCGCGATTGCAGAATTTTAGTATTACAGAATTGATTATTACTCTTCCACGATGTTAGAGCGCTGTCTAATTTGTCTTTCACTTGTGTAAATTGGTGGGGAACGAAGTAGAGATGAAAATGATTATCTCTCCCCCCCCCCCATGCAAATAAATTATGAGAAAGCACATAGAAATATTAAATACGAGGTAGGCCCTTTTTCGGATTTTAGGGAAACATGTTTCAATCATAGAGTTATATAATAAGCCTTATTATATAACTGTATATGGTTTCAATATTCTTGATTGATTATATAAAAAAATTGTGTGGAATATTCCCTGCTATATTATAGGCATACAGTATAGCCTGCCATCGTAGCTAGTCTCCATTATTATTATCATCTCCCATACGTTCTCATATATCCCCTAATACCCCCCCCCCCCCCCCCCCCTCAACAGCCTGCAGTGACTTCTTTCTGCACTTGCCTCTTCTCGGCTTCCACAAGTAAAACATCGATAAAATGACTCACAAACACAGGTGGTGTAACCATAACAATATGCCCCCATGTGAGATATAAATCCGACGATCATTTCATATTTTTCCTTAGAAAGAAAATCACCACGGGATGCTGCAGTACAATGCATAAAACCGATGACCCGTTTTCTGGTATGAAGCCCTATGGAGCAATGTTTTGACATGTGCAGCTGGCTCGAGTGAGAACCGAAGCGTGATGACCGACGAACAATTAATTACAGAGTGCACGAACAATGGAAAACAAAGGATGTGATTGGTACTAAAACAATATATTTAGGTTGCAAAAGAGAAAGCATGATCTCATGAACATTTATACGAGTGATTACGTAATTTCGATGAAATTTGTACGGAAAATAAGCCTTTATCACTAATTGTGAATTTCCCTTCAGCAGGCCCAGGATAATGCTCTATCGACGGAATGGAGAAACGAATGAATTTGATAGCATAAGTCACTTGGTACAATTTCAATGCAATGGATTTAATTTAAACAATACCTGCAGTGACTTCTTTCTGCACTTGCCTCTTCTCGGCTTCCACAAGTAAAACATCGATTAGGCCTGGTGTAGTGTATACCTTTGAATGCTGAAAAGTGCAGTAGCTCTCTGTGCGTAATTATTATAAATAATGTTTATAATAGTTCTTGTATAACGCTCATGTCTGTCAAACCTTGGTCAAACTTGACACTCCTGGCGCTCCCAATTATTAGTTACCCCGGCTTTAGCATGGCTGCCATTTAATATGGCGCTCTGCTGCTTTTCAGCTCAAGGAAAACATTTCCTACCAGGTACCCATTTACCTCAACTGGATGGAAAGTGGCAAATGTAGATAAATGTCTTGCCAAAGGATATTAGTGCCGCAGCGGGACTCGAACCGTGAACCATGCGATCCGCAGTCCGGTGACCACTAGACCACGACACCTGTACATTATGATTCATATGACTTACATAATTTTTGCATCATCATCATCGCAGGAGACAGTTGTTAAATTCCATTAATCCCAAATGATGACAGTTATCCGGATACAACTACATTTTCATATGACTGTCATACTTATTACGTAATACACTCCCCGCGAAGAGGCCCCAGGATATTACTTGTCTTGTTAGAGCTTATTATAGCATAATCCAAATAATATATATCCTACTCCAATCCAAATAGTACGAATGACCGGTCACTAGGGAAAGGGTATGGCGGAGTACGTGGGAGGGGTGGATTTTTTGTTTGGGGTGGGTTTCGTTACTGTAGGTTAACTTTCATTTCTCATATTTGTTTAAAAGGAGATGCAAAGGAAGAAAAAAAGTCATGACGATTGATAAAAAATGAAGTCTTTGGTTACTCATATCAGGGAGTAACTTCCTGGTTACATTCTCTTTGATGAGAAGAAATCCCGAGGTAAAATCAAGGAGGTATATTGATTGTTGATGATGCTCCGTATACAATCACGAACCAGTAAAGCAATAAGGAACTCTGAGTCTGGGCACGCGACTACACTGACGGATGGGGCCATGGGGGACACTGGGGGTGG